TGAGTGTCAGCAGAGCTTTTGGGCTGTAGATGGCACTGCAAGGTAAGTGGAAAGGTGAGTCTACAAGCTGTGCAGGTCTTATCCTCTTAAACTTTGTAATCTCCCAAGGACTCTTTAGCCACTGGGAAGACTGAGTAAACCAAAGCCAGAGGAGTCCTGTCCAGAGGCGATGTCAAGGCCAAGGCCAAGCTCCCTATGCCAACCTACCATTTAGTGCTGTTCTGTCCAGTTTTATTTTTCTTTTCATCATCAGAATGTGACAAGAGAGGCAGCATCAGACGGTTCCTACCTCCCAGCCCCATTGTCCGGCCTCTCTCGCGCCTGTGGGATTGCCACAGGAAAAGAGCCATGTTTGTGTCAGCCAGGAGGGGGAGATCTCTGCTGGAGAGCTGGGGAACCTCTGGAGGCCACCTCTGGTGGGACTCCCCCTTTGGACATCTTGCTTGGAGAGCAGGGCAATGCCCTGAGGTCCTCTGCAGTCCTGCACCTTCCGCTCAGGCCGGGCTGTGAGGAGGGTACACGGGAAAGGCAGCACAGGCCACAGCTGGGTTTCCTGGCAGCACAGGCCACAGCTGGGTTTCCTTGCTGTGCCCGTATGTGTAAGTTCCTCCCAGTGAAACACTGTGTTTTTAACCAGAGTGTTCCACAAAGTACTTAAGGTCATGACTGGTAATGTCCATTTCATGTGTATTAGAGTTTCTGATTGCATTGAAAAAAAAAATAGGYACCAAAAGCAACTGTCTCTTGAACAGTTCCCACAAATAATTCCTTTTACTTTATAGGGCATGGAAGTAACATTTCTTTTTATGTGCATTGTGCCATTTTCCACAGGGCACCAAAAAGTTTTGCAAAACCTTTTTTTTTTTCCCCTTGCAAATATGGCACTTCTGTACAGCTGCAGGACGGTGCTTTCCTACCACRCACAGCTCATATCACTCACGGCAAACTCTCCTATCTGCCTATCTTGTCTTAACGTAAACCAGGAAAATCTACTTTGGATCAGAAGAGAGCATCATAAGTGCCCTTGAGGCCCAACTAGGCAAGATGGAAATCTTATGAATTCAAGAAGAGAGCTCAGCATGTGACATGTCATGGATATAAGGAAGCTCTGGCTTTTGTGGGAGGAAGAACCTGCTTTGCTGGAGCCACGGCTGTTGAGTGATGGGCGCCAGGTCAGCTCCTGGGCGCTCTCCGCATCTTCAGTGCCCGCTCTTCCCGCACAGGGGAATGCAGTAGACTTCCAGGATTCCCTGCACTTCCTTTCTGTAGCTCCTTTCCATGCTGTTTTATGATCACATTTCTTCCCCACTTTTTTTCTCAGTATGAATACATGAAATTTATTAGCCCTTTCTCTTTGGGTAAGAGGATAGACTTACACACACAAGACACACACAAATTCACTATAAATTTGGTGATGCTTTACTGGCACAAGAAGGCTACATTTGAGTATGTGGCTATTGGAGAAATAAATAGTAGGAAAGAGTCTTTTTTTTTTCATGGAAAAGCACAAGCCTTCTCTGTGAGAGCTGTTATACTAATCCTCCTCTGTTAGTTCTGTAATAAGAATTTCATGGTATTTTATATACCTTTGCTCTCTTCAAGTCCATTAAACAGAAAGATCATCTGGACTCWTGAGGAATTTATTCAATATCAGCAGAAGGTAAGCCTAGAGTTGATTAATTTTTTCTTCAGCAGAGAATATTACTCCTGCCAGTAAGAATTATTACTCAAGGCTCCAGAGGACACTGGTAATAATTAGGCCAGCTAAGGCACATAAATAAAAATGTGAAGGGAGAAATCCCTCACTAGACACTTTAGTTGAAAAGAATCACAGCATCACAGAGTGGTTGAGGTTGGAAAGGACCTGTAGAGATCATCTAGTCCAACCCCCCTGCTCGAGCAGGAACATCCAGAGCACGGGGCACAGGGTGGCATCCAGGMAGGTTTGAATATTTCCAAAGAAGGAAATATTGGTGATGTTATGTGATTGTCACCACAGCAATATAAAGTGCAGGGCCCATTTATTCTTTGCTGTGACTTACACCATCTCTTTTAATTGCAGCATTTTCTGATGCCTGGTGCAGAAGACAAGCCGCACAACTTTACCTCAGTATTTGTACAAAATATTCTGGATGGATAGATAGGATTCATCAATTAGAAGTCATCTGACTGGGTAATGTCCTCCCTACAACCTATTTTCATCTCTCCAATCTTAAATGAGCATGTTGAGCATAGTCCAGTTCCCAGCCCTCAGCAGTCAATGGAAGAGACACCTACTAATACAAAGCATATATTCTGGAAGCTAGTAAAGCCCCTTGGAATTGAACTTTCTTCTAAAACCCTTTTTTTTTTTTTTTTCCTTTAAAGTCTAAGACTGCTATAACAGGTAAAAATTGTGGTGAGAGATACATTTTCCCCTGTAAGCTAATTAGATACTTATTATTGGTAAATCGGACCTTTCCACTACTAACTGAAAGAAAGAGACAGCTCCTAATTGGTAGGTACTTAACTACATGATTCAAGCATTCACAAATCTGTCGGCAGTACCCAATTCTTCTCACTGAAGAAAGCCTTCTCACTGACTTATTAATAACTTTTCATCTTCATTGTTTTTAATTTCTTCTGAAAGRCTTAACGTAGTGTATTTTTTCCACTAGAACACTGTCATTTTCCTTAGGTTAAAAATATCCAGTAACTTAAAGAGAGGCTCAGCTTATCCCATTTGAGCTATTTTTGTGTTATGAGTTACCTTATCATCTCAAAATATCTTGGCAAATCAAACTCTATCATCCTGATTCTACTAATGACATTCACCAGTTAGCTGTTTTTGCAAGACTTTGCAGGGACTTTGATTTTTGACCTGTGAGATGGAGACATCAAAAAAAAATCTCAAGAATAAACAATAGATAAAGTAGTTAATATTTTTCCATCAATATATTTAAACTCCTGCAAAGAAGATTAAAAYTCTTACATATAAACTCATTGGTAAAAGGTTGTTGGTTATTCTGCTGAGTTTTTGGTTCACGCAGAAGGACTCCATCTCCATCCAGGAACTCCATCCATTCATCAAATAATGTTATTTTTCAAATTTTCCATTTTCAAATTACCATACCATTCTTTGTGACAGTCTTTTGTCACAAAGGCTGTGTCAAAGAGTAGGCACTAGTGTACAGTTCAGCTTAGCAATTTTCCCATGTATAATCTTCTACTGTTTTTTAGGGTCTTGATGTATTTTAAAACCTCTTGATCTTGCTACTCCACTATTCATCTTTCCAAAGGATGCATGTTTCAGCTATTTGCTGAAATTCATTACTATACAACAAATGCTTTTTTTTTTTTGTCTGACTTCAGCTGTATTTGGATCTCCTCATAACCCCATGTGGTCAGCATTTATGTGTCAGCAGGCCTGCTGGCAACATACTTGTAAAAAGGTCATTTCTGAGATGTGCCTATAGTTGAAGCAGAAAGCAGCTGCTGATCACTAGAAAAATAAAACACAAATAAATTCCACATTGCATGCAGTTACAGGGCTCAACAACTGTTAGCAAGCGGAACCTTTGCATCGTTCATGTTAACAGGGTCAGATGACACAGGTAAAATTGCCTGTGAGTCACCTATGTACAACTTCTACTCTTGATTTTTTCCCCCAGATTGGTCTGCTGCTGCAGAACACAGATAACTTCTTGAAGCCCTGAATGTTTTGTGGTTAAAAATTAACGAGGTTATTTTTAACTTTGCACCACTTTTAACTTGCACCACTCAAGGGAAGAATGTGGCTTTCACAGAAACGCAGAGAAAATGTGGACATTAATATTGCCTGTGTGCACTACTTTGGAAAAAACAGTATGTGATTGATATATATATATAAATATATTTTTACTCTGCTATTTTACATATACATATACTGTCGGTCTTTCTTCCTAGCCTGGCGCTCTGAGAASTTAAACCCTAATTATGCCCCAGCTTAACCTGTAATCAGTACCTCCCATTACATCATTCCAGTGATTAATGCAAAAGCTGAATCATGTGGAGCCCTCACAGAGTTTATTTGAGGAGCCTACCGAGGGAACCACGGACAGTTACTTTGCAAGGACAATTTTTCAAGTCTTCAAGCACGTATCATGCCACGGAGACTGCCTCCTGGGCTAGTGTCAAGGGCCTCGCTAAATCCAGGCCGAATCATATAAATTAGGTCACTGGCCCTGTCTTTGGTGTCATCGTGGAGGCCGGGCGAGGTGCTGACTTGTCTAGAAACCCCCTCTCCTTGCGCGCAGCTCGGCTCCTGCCAAAGCCATGGATTTTCCTGAGGTAACCACACTTCAGAGATACCTTTTGCCTTTTTTTTTTTTTTTTTTTTAATTATTCGCCTGCTTCATTTGATTAGGTCTTAAGATATGCCAGACACTACTTCTAGCTACATATTAAAAAGAATCTAAGGAAGCAGTTGGCCACAACCCTGTCCTTTCTTTCTTCAGTGAAGCCTGAGAGGAAGGGAGCATGGAAATACCTCAGCTGTCTCCCCCCGGGCACTATTTCTCCTTGGACAAAAATGGGACCTCACTGCCCATGGTGGTTGTGCGGTTTCTTGTGGTTGTGGGTTTTTGTCTTATTTTTTTCCTGTGGTTTGTGGTGTTTTTTTCCCCGCCCCGCCCGTTGCCGTTTGAAGCCTCGCGCACCGCCGGGGCAGCCATGACGTCACCGCTCCGCTCCCCCCCCCCGCCCGCCTGACTGGCCCTGTCAGTTAATCCGGGCTTCGCGCAGGGGGGCGGGGCAAGACGGCGGCCACAGCCAATAGGTCCGCGAGGTGCGGCAGCGCTCTGGCCAATCCGCTGCTCGCTTCTTCAGGGGTGCGGCGGTTGCTCTGTTTGCGCCCGGCTGTGTGCTGTCGCTCCGTTGCTGCCGTTTCTGCCGTTGCTGCCGTGTGAGGGTCCGCGCTCGTAGTCGCCGCCGCCGCCGCCGCMGCMGCAGCAGCCTGTCCCTGTCCCGGTGTCACTGAGGATGAACCGCCGCGCGGCCCAGCGCGCCTCCCGCCCTGCCCGTCTCAGCCCGTTCATCTAGCGACTGGTGAGGGCGGGCCGCGTCCTGCTGATGTGTCCGGGCGGGGAGGCTGGCGCAGGGAGCGGGGACGCGGCCGGGGCCGGCGGCCACGTAGTCCGGCCGGCGGCCACGTAGTCCGGGCGGGGACCCGCTGCGAGGCGGAAGCAGAGCGGCCCGGCCGCTCGCTTTGCTCGGACACCCGTGTCGCGGCCCAGGCTACGTGGAAAGGCGTAACGAGAGTCAAAACGGGCACCTTCCTGCCCCCCGGCCGCCCAGTTTACTTCGCTGCAGATTCCCAGGAGGTCGCTCATGTTGCCAGAGTTCTTGGCGGTGTTCGTGTGCAGCCGTTAGTTAGAARCCCGCAGCGGTGCTGGACTTGGGCAGCAGCGTAGGCAGCAGAGAGCTCAAATCCTGCAGTTGTTTTTAAGGGATGTTTCCATGCTCTTGTCTTAGGGACCAAYTGCTAGGTATTTATTTATTGGTTGATGCGGTTACTCTTCGCTAAATATTCTGAGGTCCACACCTCCTCTAGAGGCTTGATATATAGTTTTAAAAGCAGTAAAGTGCTAGAAAACAGATTATTTTTGTTTGTTTGTTTTGATTTGTGTTTTATTGATGCACAGATAAATTACAGACCTAGAGCAAGGYCCCGGTGGATTGTGTAAATGCGTGCTGTAGCACTTGCTATACTTTTGTTCATCCCTCTTTTTCTGTTTTAACTGGTAGTGTTAAATTATTAAYCAGCACTAATTCTGTTTGTTTCTAGCTGTGCAAAACACCATGTTTTGKTTTACAGTTTATTTACTGCTAGCATGGGTGCCTTGTTATATCTGACTGCTGTGAGAGAATTTAGTAGTTGAATTTATGTACTGGTAGTATTTGATTCTTAAAGAAAGAAGAAATAAAGGCAGAGGAGCTGAATCGCTGAACATCTCATCCAGATATGGGTTATATTGTCATTGTTATGACAGCAGAAGCCAGAAAGCATCTAGAGAACCTCTAAAGGTCATCTACGAGGGGGTACCCGGTGGTGATAAAARGGCTTGTGGCCCTGTAATCAAGGCAGTTGACATCCCTCAAGGTCCAGAGGTTGCAGCAGATGTGGTGGAACTCGGTATTTTTTAAAATTAAGTTGGATATTGTGAGACTCTTTACCTTTAGTCAAGCCACATCTATTTAAAACATGCCATGCTATTTGTCTAATCCTTTCTGAGAAACATTCTGACAATTCTGCAGTACTTGTGGGTAGCCTTGTTAGCATTCAACTACAATTTTAAATAAAGCCTGGCATATAACCTTAATCTTCTATGCAGAACAGATGACTACTTATACCACTGTCAGCAATAAYAGCATTATTCTTTAGTCCTTTTGTAACAGCCTTTGAAAATGTAGACTCTAGAAAACACTGCTGAGGGGAGAAAATAGATCCAGTTTAAGCCTGTATTGAGAGATTTTCTTTTGGTTACTCTTTCCAAGATTTTCTGCTTGTCTGCTTTTCTTAAAACTTGATGTTAAACTGCTGGTTGCTTGGTGTTTCCCCTATTCGGTATATTTGATCAGTATTTATATATGAAATATATTGTGCATTACAGTATATTTTTCAGGGGAATTGGCAATGTAGATTTATGCCCAGACTTCTGACAAACATGCAAATAAATTCATAATAGGTTAGACTATCTGTGAATATGTAGTCTTCCAAGTAGAAATTAGTAATGTGACTGTTCTTTAAAACTTTAGAATTAGCTGTGCTTGTAGCTGGAGGGTCCTTACACTGTTATTTATCTGGTGGTTCATCTATGTTTAATGGTTTCTTGGAATGTATTCTTGAGGATATATTGCTTCAAATTAATACTGTGTATATTAATTCCCAATTTCATTTCATTAGTCATTGTTGTCAGATTCTCAACTTTAGTATTAGTGCAAGTTGCCTTTAGGTAAGAATATAGTCAACAGGAAACCCTGGAAAATGGATAACAAATTATCTTGTCTTTGATTCTGTAAGCTTTAGACTTGTTTTCTGATAAGTAACCTGCACTGTGAATTTTTTCACAATGCAGTAACCTGAATTGTGAATTTTTTGTATACAAATATTTTTTGTGACTTCAGTGCTGTTACAGTTGCAGGTCTTGTGTGATGTTACGGAACAAATGTGAATGGACCTGCTTGATGAATATTGTTAAACATCACCGCACTAGTTAAAACAAGAAAGTGTTAACACTCCTCCTGTCTTACTCTGCCTACCCCTCCGTCCCCCGTACCCCTATAATGATKGCCTCATCTGCCTAAGTAGTAAAATGTTGCTGGTCGTAACTGTCTAAGTTCAAGTGTCTAGCCAAGAATGGATTTTTCCTTTCTAAAAGCCATAATGTGAGCACTATTTGAAAGAAGAAGAGGGAGGAAAAAAAAAAAGAGAGGTTGTCGACATTTTACTTTTTTTTTTTTTTTTAAGTGACAGCTATGCTAAATATCTAAGGAAATTCTACGGCATGTCTCAAGGCCACAGTAGTTATTAAAAATCTACAGACTTTGAAATTATGCAAAATAGAGGCTGATACTTAATTGTGTTGAAGGAGAAACAAATGCTAGATAACTTCACTGAAGTTAATTCCAGATGTTACTGGTATTTAGAAAAAGCAATACCACTAAAACTAATATTTCAGTGAATGACAAGAGGACAGGTTAAGACAGTTTTATGGCTGAAAAATATCCCCAAGAAATATTTTCTTAGTGAAGCTGCCTAAAATTGAATTTCAAAGCATTGCCAGTTATCTAACAATAGAATTACTTAATGCAGTTGCAAAACCAACTGTTTTTCTTTAAATAACACTGGGTTCCAAATATCTGAATCTCCACTACTACTTCTGATTCTGTTGCCTTATGGAGATCCTTGTCTCTTGAGTTCAATCTCTTTGGAAATCTGTGTTCTGAGCCTCACAAGAAGTGGTGCTGAATGTCACCTATCTTCGTTGGGCCTGACTTCTGAAAGACAGTAACTTAAAAACAGATTAATTGTAGGATGTCTTAAGGATGCTGCTACATCAGCATCTATTTGTTTTAGCTTAATTTTTATGTTACCAAAATAGAATTGGTGATACATGACTACTGGGATACTTTGAATCGAGCTTATGAGCGAGCATCTTGGATAAGAGAAAACAAGTAAGCAGAACCCTTGGAGTAAAATGATCACTAAGACACCAAAAGTCCTGTGTAAACAGCTTTAGAAACACAGATTTCTAGAACTACACATCAGCCAACTTTTTTTTTCTTTTTCTTCCCCTTGTTTCAATAGAAAATCCCAAGGTTACATCTTTTCTTTTATCTTCTCTCCTGTTGCAGAAAGTGAAGACTATCATGATCATCCTTAGTTTTTGAGAAATGACTTATTCTAATGTTTAGAATTTTAGTTATTTTCACACTAGGTGGGACAGCTTTGATTTTTAGATTTCTTTAAAAAAGGCAGAGATGCCAAATATTATGAGCCCCTTGAGGGGAAGAGCTGAGTAAGAGGGCTCTACCTCTCGCACAGCAGCGAGAGGCAGCAAGAGTCCACACACACTTTGCTGCTATGTAGGAGTTGCCTCCAGGTTGGTTGTGACCTTTTATCTTTTCTTGGGCTGTGAAGTAAATAGCTCATGCCTCTAGGAGGCTGTGATAAGGAAAATATTGAAATCTCCTTGTAGAAATAAAGACTGTGTATTTTTCTAATATCTCCATTTGCATGCTTTTTTTTCCATCTTCCCTGAATGTTTTCTTTAATGAAATTATCTGTGTGTGTGTATATAGATAGATACAGATATTTGGGAAGAGTTTGAATTCCAATAGATAAAAATGCTAAATAGGATTATTTCAATCTATCTATTTCTGTCAATAATTATAACATTAGAAGGAGATTGGTTTTGCAACACATATTAGTCAKTAGTAGTAAAAAACCCACAGAAGTATCTGTAAATAAAAGCAGACACACATAGTTGATGGTGACATATTCTAGATGTTCAAAGCTTAAAAAGTGCTGTTTCATGATTTTGTGCTTGTTTCATGATTTTGTTTATTCACCGGGGACCCAGTTTGCTCCAGAGCTGAGCATTTCGACAGTAGTCACAAAGACTTAACACAGTCACAAAGATTTAGTCACAAAGATTTAAAGATTTTTGTGACAAAAGTCACAAAGATTTAACACAGATTTATAGTTTTTATAGTCCTGAGGTCTTTCTCTTAAAAACCTGTTTTGTTTCTGAAAATAGTTAGCTCTGATTATTGGTCCTTTTGCAGATGGTAGATTTTAATAATATAACTGCTACTAGTGTGCCCATAGTCATGGAAGGACATAAGCTTGATCTAATGCCTTTTGTCACAACTTAAGGTATATATGAATTTGTCTACTATTGTAATTTTATAGGAGAGCTGAGCTACAATGACTTACAAAGAAATAATTTAAGAGCGTCAGATTCCAAATAATKGCAATAAATAAAATCACAGAAGAGTTAGTATGAAGTAGGCAGGATTTTATTTCTTTCTAATTGCGGACTTTTTACTGTTGGGGCATGTTTGGTGCAAGAGCAGGAGTTCAAGTGCTTTAAGTATTTTTTTTAATTATTTTGTGGTTTTGTTCTATTTTGTTCACTCTATCTTGTGATTTTGTTCTGTTTATTTTCACTGTTTTCTGTAGTACCAAATAGGCATGTCTTAACAAAAGATGATATTTAAGATGGTCTTATGGAATAATTTTCCCACRTGGGCTAAAATATGAAACCTGGTAGTACAGACATTGGTAACACTGATTATGATCTGTTAAGGGCTTTCTAGAGTGTAGAGTTGAAGGGAAGAACATAGCTTCCATATCATGATGGAGATCTAACACAAAATTTATGCCTTTTCCACATAGTAATTTTGTTGCCTACTGGAGTATATAATAGTACTTTTGATGTTTTTCCTATATATTCTCAAATATTATAAAGAATTATTACTATTTAGAAAAATAATGCATTGGAGATTTTGGGCTGCTAATATCAATTACTTGAGTTACTTCATTTCTTTAGGCTACTTTTTTAATTTATTTTTTGTGTTGTTTTGTTGGTTTGATTTTAATTTTCCAGCAGTGTTTCTTTCCTTTTTTAGGAGAGCGGGTAACCTCACGCTTTTTTTTAACCTCTTCTCCCTTCAAGTGACTTTTTTTGATCCAGTTCACCAGGTAGCCTCAAAGATTGATGTCAAAGTAAGGGAGGGAGATGACTTTACAGAGCGGTATGGAAAATAGTCATGACTGTTTAAACAAGCTGAATGCCTGAGTATGACATCAGATGGGCAGAGACAAAGTCAGTTAACTCTTACTGCATTGCTCCTCTGTACGTGCAGGTTTAGGCTGATATATGTTAATTTGGCAGAGTTGCTGTACAAAAGACTGTTTGTTGATCAATCTGTTCTGTTTTGTTCTCTTTCAGGTCTCCCTTGCAATTATGGAGTTTTAGAAGAATAAGATAGTGTGGAGGGGGAATCTCCCTCTCCACACTTGAGGTAGTTTGCTTTTGGAATTTTCTATGGACAAGAGTATTTCTTATATGTAATGGTGAAATAAGACTTCTGAAAATATATATTTATAAATATTTATTTTGATCAAGTGCCAAACATAACAGTACAAAGATTTCTAATGGCAGCTCAATAAAACTGTATATAAATTTTTTGGAATTACAAATTTCTGAAGGCACTGTATCATGTACTGAATTGGAGTGCCTTGATACAGTCAATGATYGTTCCCCTGAAGAAGAGCAGCTTCAGAAGGGAAGATGAGTTCTCTCATGCCAGACTGCACTCTGAAATGCCGTTCTCTGCAGCATGCCTTGGATGTTATTTCTGTAGTTACCAGAGGAAGTGAAAGCCAGATTAAAGCTTTTCTCTCATCTTACTGCTACAATGCTGCAACTATAAAGGATGCCTTTGGTAGAAATGTTCTGCATCTTGCTTCATCTTGTGGCAAAAAAGGTGTGGTTGACTGGCTGGCTGAAACCAAAGGAGTTGATCTTGTGGCTAAAGACAAAGAATCTGGATGGACAGCTTTGCACCGGAGTATATTTTATGGATACATTGACTGTGTTCTGTCATTACTAAAGGTGAGTGTCCAGCTCTCATCTTCCTGATGAACAATTTGCAGTATTTTAGTTTTCCTCAGTATCTGCAATTTTAGAATTTTATTGATTAGTTCAAAATTTTATTTAACTTGTCTCAAAAGTTCCTGAGGATTACAGTAATACTATGTTTAGATCAAAATTCACTAATATACTAAAAGCTTGTTGTTGTATTCATCAAAAGTCTCTTTGCACACAGAAAACAACACTAAGTAACTAAGCCCTGATAAATTGTGGGATTCTTCAAAAGACTGATTTGTGTAGACAGCAGTAGAGCAGGATCCTAAAGTACAGTATGAACTTGACATCAATTTGACGATATGGTAAAAATAGGCTCTTCAATAATTACACCGAATAGCTGCACCAACTAGTGTTGTTAGAAAACTTTAGATATATATATATATATATATATAGCTATATATATATATATAGTTAATGATGAATCTTATGTTTGAGCGATAAGCTCTTCAAGATGTGCAACTTTTCTTATTTCCAAATGCATTCTTGTATTAACCTGCGTTTTTGGTCAACCCCTCTCATGCCTTTCTGACAATTGCTATTTATTCCTTACCTTTTAACACTTTGTATTGCTCTTCTCTCTGTTCATCCCACCCTGTAACAGGAAGAGCTACATGTGATTGAAGCATCTGAAGTCTTTATAAATGCATGAGAAAATGAAATATTTGCAGTTCGGGGTTACTTAAAGGCAAACCTGAGGAGAATAACTGAGGCTTTTGAAATCCAACCCTTTTGTTTTAAAGCCTGCTGGGACTAGGCATATATAGGCATTGAATTCTGCTCTCAACCAGTGTGTTAAGCAAAAAAGCTTAACGCCCCCCAAAAAAGTATCCAATAGTTCTTAATTCCTGAAAGTTTAAGTGTTAAATTTATTGTTCACATTCTGCACTCTCTCACAAGAAAGGAGCTTTTTTTCTTAAAATTGCCCCAAAGTAGGTATTTGTTTCTTGTAGATTGTGTGGGTCTCCTCTCTAGAACTTGAMGCTTCTGTTTTGGTTACAATTCAGATTATTAATAAAGTTGTTATAGTACTGTTTTGTTTTTCTTATGTAGTGAATTAGCCCCAAACCTTAGTTAGTAGCTTTCCTTTAAAATTTGAACAATGTATGGTCTTATTCTCTTGGTTGATGTATTTCCAAGGGAGTTACAGATTAAATTCCTAGAGAAATGACTGAATGTCCTTCTCTCATTTCTGAGTGGAGTGTGCTCTTAATTCTAGTATTTCATGCCTTGATCTCTCTCTGACATGAACTTCTCACATGAAACTGTGGATTTCTTTTGTATTAGCTGCGAACTGTGGTACATAAGTACAGTCCTGTTGCCTATCTAATTCTACTTAGGGACATCTGCAGTTCTTTCCTTCAGGGATCTTACTGATATCTGGCTTTCTTAAAACCTGTGCTGTTAGCAGCGCTTTCTTTTGTGCTGAGGACACTGTATACAGAGGAGAGGTCTGTTCCTGTAGGAGCTCTGTAGCAATGCTAGTGAGTCGCACTTGAAGCTTCAGAAGCAGAGTGCTGGTGTCTTGTGTGGCAGCTAGTGTTCTTGTGCCTTTTCTCAGTAACTGTGAACCACCGTTCCCTGCTTGTCTTCAAAGGAACAGTAGGTCTCTCTGATCTTCTCACTTTTTTAGCTTGTAAAAAAATAATTCTGTAAGCTTGCTAGTATGAGAAAATTGATTTTTGAAAGCTGGTAAATGCCTTTTGAATAAGTACTTGCCCCTTCTAGGTGTCAGTGCCTTGACTTCAAATRTTTTCTGTGTCTTTTCCTGGTTACACCTTATTACACAAGTGTTCCTACAATAATATCACAGTTCATAGATCAACATAACATATAGCTGAACAGAACTGCCCTGCTTTTTCAGATATACTTATAATCAACTGGAAATAATCAGAACATTTTTTTCTTAATTAATACTAACATTCAACTAAAGATTTGTTTATCTGACTTGCTGCAAGCTCTGGATTTCGGTGTAACTTTTATGRTTCCCTCTTTTCCCCTTCTCTCCTTTTTCAGCATGGTGTTAGTCTGTATCTTCAGGATAAAGAAGGCTTATCAGCTTTGGATCTTGTGATGAAAGACAGGCCAGCATATGTGGTGTTCAAGAAAACTGGTAGGAAATCAAATACGTTGTATTTTAGGAGGTCTGTTTCAGCAGMATATAAATATGTGTACCTGTTTAGACAAATGTTATGTTTCTAAATAGGATTTTATTGTGMGAAAACAGAAGTTGTGGGGTCACTAATATAAGACTACAGAAACAGCATCTTAGCAACAGATGCAGAATGTCTTTGCATAAAGAAAAGGAAGACGTGACAACAGATTATGATAGAGGGAAATCGAATATCTATCATATGAAGAAAGACTAAGTGAGCTGAGCCGCCCTTTAGCCTGGAGAAGACTGAGGGGGGATCTTATCAATATGTACAAATATCTGAGGCGAGAATGTAGAGAGGATGGGGCCAAACTCATCTTGGTGTTGGCCAATGGTAGGACAAGGGGCAATGGGTGTAAGTTGCAACACAGGAAATTCCATCTGCCTATGAGGAAGAACTTCTTCCCTGTGAGGGTGACAGAGCCSTGGAACAGGCTGCCCAGGGAGGCTGTGAGGTCTCCTTCTCTGGAGGCCTTTCGAAACCTGTCTAGATGCCACTCTGTGCCCCATGCTCTGGGTGTCCCTGCTGGAGCAGGGAGGTTGGACTAGAGGACCCTTCCAACCTCAACCCTTATGTGAAATAAAAATGCCAAGTGATGGTCTGTTTATTTGATTTCAAATTATTGGAGGAATTTCAGTCTCTTTGGTAGAGCAGCTTATACTGCTTCTTTGGTTTTTGTAAAAGATTTTCAAGTTGCAGATGCTGTCTCTAAAATGCCTATCTGTAAAGTTCCTTTTTAGGTAAAACAGCTTTTGTCCTCAAATTTTAAAGATGAAATTAAAAGTTAACTTTCAAATTCTGTATGCATGAGACTGTTAAAATTGGCAATCTGCAGGTGTATATGTATGTGTGTATTTTTTTTTCGACTGCAGATCCCACAGAAGTCTACACTTGGGGAAACAATATTAATTTTACTTTGGGTCATGGTGGTCAACAGAGTAAACATCATCCTGAATTGGTGGACCTTTTCCCTCGCAATGGCGTGTATATCAAACAGGTATTCTGAAAGAAGTACATGGGCTCTCTTTTCAATGAACCTAGGAGGTTTCATGTCAAACTTTAGAAAATTCCTTYGGAAAATGTAACTTTGAGTCCGATTACTCCTAATTCTGCCTTGTAAGGAGTTCCTGTTTTTATGGTAAATCTAATTAGAGGGCTGAGAAGCGTTAGACTGTTAGGTTACCTTTACTCCCTCCCATGAAAACACKGTTTTCTGATGTGGGAGGTTGATAGCTGGTTAAGTATTTCCCACATAAATCAGACCTGAATATCACTAAATAATTCAGAAGCATGATACCTCTGTAAGTGATTTGAATTTCTAACCTTCTCTCGAACTCATAGTGAATCGACTGGAACAGTTGATGTGTTGTATACAAAAGCCTTTTTTTTTTTACAGATGTTAGTGCTTGCTGTAGCAATGGCTTTTCTCTAATAATTTATTGTGGCTTTAAAAATACTTTCAATTAATCTCAACCTTAATACAATTTGAATGCAAATGATTTGTGCCACAGTCTTGTTTGCCTCAGCTCTTCTGAGTGTTCTTGCTCTTAACACTGAATCTTTTGGACTCTTATTTTGGACTCTTATCAGGGCCATATCAGATTGTATTTTAATAAATACAAACTGCAAATATTTTCAAGTATGTTAATAAAACATAATGAATTTAAAGTTGAATGTTGGTGTTCTTTGCAGGTTGATTTTGTATCACCTGTGCTTTAATGCTAGTATCCTGCTCACATAGTCACGAACAGCTAAGGAAATCATTACTTTGGAGACTGCTGGTAGTTTTGTTTAAATCTTAGCTTTTAAAAAAGATACRGGCTAAGATCTAACTTCTGTTACGTTCTATAACCATACCCCAAAGTCAGGGGAATTCTTGTCTAAATGGTTTATTTTCTAGACCATGGTCTACAATCTGGACTAGTCTAGTAATTACATCAGGGCAAGACATGCAGTAGATGTATCTGACTTTCAGGTTACTTCTCTTTTCCCTTAAGAAGGTAGGGGAGGTTGTGATGATACTTTGTAGTGGGAAAGTCTCTTGGTAGCTAATTTGTATTAGCTTTAGGGCAGGCTTTTTGTTACAGTTAAGAGGATTAACAGCGTAGGCCACTATGTAAATTGGCAATCATACCCTTTTGCTTTGTTTTACTTTTGTGTAGTTGRCATCCTTTTCCATTTGCTCATATTAATGAGCTTTTATGATTATCATTCAGAAGRGTTGCTCACCCTTTGGTCAGTTATCTTCTTTCAGGAATGCTGTTTAAGTTGTTTAAATCTTAGAATGACAATTCTGTATTGCAGCATTTTTTACTGTTTCATGTTTACAATTCTGTATTGTAATATGTATCAAYTTTCTTAAAGCTGAACTTCATAAAATATTAGTGGCCTATAATTAAAGATTATTCAAGAAAACTAATTATTTTTATGCTTCCTTCCCTACTTGTTTTACCTCAGGTCGTACTCTGCAAATTCCATTCCGTGTTCCTTTCTCAGAAAGGACAGATTTATACATGTGGACATGGACAAGGAGGACGTTTGGGTCATGGTGATGAACAAACATGCTTGGTATCGTATCACTACTATTTTTTATTTCAAACATGAGGTTTAAAAGCTGAATTAGAGTTTTGTGTTTGAGTACTTTCAATGATTTTCAGATCAATTTGGTGATTTAAGCAACAAAAACATCTCCAGTACTACTGCTGTGGAAGAGAAAGGCAGCATGTACATTTAAATATACCTTCAGTTAGCTGGTTGCAAAGTCAAACTTAGGTGTTAAGGCTCTTTTGATCTGAAGGCTAGCTGATATCAGGTGAAAAAAAGTAACTCCTGCTTAGCTACTGTCCTAGATAAGTTTGATGCAGCCAAATGAGTGTTGGGGCTGATGCAAAGGAAACAGTAGTATTGTGGGCCAGAAGTGAAATGGAAGTGATGGTAGTTTCTGTTGGTGTAACGTTAGTTACATATATGGCCTTTGATTATTGTCATTTTTCCCCCCCCTTCATGTTTAGGTTCCAAGACTTGTGGAAGGTTTGACTGGTCATCAGTGTACCCAGATAGCAGCAGCTAAAGATCATACTGTTGTCTTAACAGAAGATGGATGTGTCTACACATTTGGTCTAAATACTTTCCACCAATTGGGTATTCTTCCTCCTCCTGCTAATTGCAGTGTTCCCAGACAGGTAAAAAAATAAAATAAAATTAAAATAAAAAAGTTAAGTGTTGCTGTTTTCTGTAACAAAGGGAAATGTGGTGCTAGCCCTAAAAACTTTTAAACTTTTTTTTCAGAACAGTAGAGTAGAACATGAATTCAGATAAAATCTTGATTCTGTGTTACTGTACATGCCARTCTCAATGCTTGCCTGTGCCCCATTTAGATTTTTTGTAAACTGAACTGTACTAAACTTTATACTGCTAAATATGACAAGATGCAGTTGCCAAAAACTTCCTTCCTTTTTTCTGAGATGTTCCTGAAACCAAGAGTAAGAAATAAAGTTATTATTTGAGATTCATGTTTGTAACCTATTTGGGATCTCTGGACAAGGGATCTAAGATTTGGGTGGTTTCATCTTTGCTGGAAGTGCTTATGGTCCTGTAGTTGTAATGCTTTGGGAAAAATAGCAACAGGGAAGAGAAACAAACAAAGAGAATCAGCAATGCATCAGGGCATGGTCATCAGAATCTTGACTACATTTATTTGGTCAAACTGTAAAACTGTATAGAGGATTTTTTTTTTTTTTTGACGATAAGAATGATTTTGCCTTTTATTGAAAGAAAGATTCATCTGAAATAGAATAACACTATGCATTAAACCAGTAGAGTATTAGAAAGGTAGGAAACAATTGGCCAAGAGAACTATGGAGATCAAGTATTTTGGTCTCTGCATAATGATAGTTGTGTATCCACAGTGTTTGCTCTGATTTGGATCATCAAGACTGCTTTGGAAAAATCAAGTTAAATTTGAAAAGCAGTAATGTTAGCATTCTGCAATGTCTGTGGAGGAGTGAGATTTATAAGCTAAAACTTTGTAAATAAAACTTTTGCAGGACCTGAATCCTATATGGCTGTCACTTATTCTTGTGCTGTGCCATTCTGTTCAGCATCTTGCATATGAAGACRGCCTAAAGATTGACTTCTAGGCTTGACGTGATAGGCAACAACACTCTTGCAAGAGTGTCCCACTTGACAGACTTCTGAAATCCTGACTCTTTATCCTCATTGACACCAATACTGCATCCTTAGTGACTTTAGGAGTTAACTGTTGTCAGAAGTTTGTACATGTGAAATTCACCTGTTGCTGCTTGATATTAAGATGTGCTTTGGATTTGTACTTAGGTTCAGGCAAAAAACCTGAAAGGTAGAATGGTGATTGGAGTGGCTGCAGGCAGATTCCATACAGTGCTATGGACTAAGGAAGCAGTGTATACCATGGGTCTGAATGGCGGCCAACTAGGTAAGGTAGAAGTGTTCTAAAAATAAACCCCAGCCATTAAAAGCTGTTACTCATAATGAAGCTGTTACTGCTTCTTTCAGTGGAAGCCTTGTTTAAACTTTCTCTTATTTTTTCCCCAGTCTGAGGACATCATCCTGCCACCCTTTTTCTCTAAGAATATTTTTCGTTGCTGCCAGTCACTTTCATGTTTGGGGATGATAGGACATAGTCAGACCTAGCTGTTACTTGAATTTCTTTTATAACTCTTGCTTTCCGTGTATCTTGCATGGCCCTGTTCCTGAAGACTTTCAGGAGATGGTATTACTGTGCTGTGAGTTTCCCCAGGGCGTGCTTGTCCTCCAACAATCAGCCTCCTATCCTTAATAAATCATAAAATAGTATTCAGTTCTGCTGCTTATGACCTTCCTTTCCCATATGCTGTAAACCTGCTGCTGTTAACTTTGCCATGCTAACTTTTTCAAGTGAAATACTTCCCAATATAAAGAGTGTGTGTGTAATTTTTTTTTTTCCCAACACTGCCATAACCAGAGTTGTCACTTAATTCAGGATTACTTGGAAGTCTAGGAAGAACCTAATAAAATATATTGCCAACAAGTGAACTATTGAATGAATGAGTTATCTTAATTGCCCTGGACTCTTCAATAAAACAGAGTAGTGTAACATTGATTTGGATCTGCAGTTCTGTATCTSTGCAGGCAACAGCTAGCTATTTCTGGTTAGACAGCTGTTGTTAGCTATTAGATCTGATCATCAGATTCTGACACTTTTTTCTTCCTGGGTAAGATTGCTAGGGTATGTGCTAAAACCTGTTAGAGAAGAATCTTACTAATCCATATTTTGGGAGAATTTTCTTAATATATGCACTCACCATGTAACTTTCTTYGTGGTTGCATGTGTTAAGATTATTCTGGCACCCACACAGTTCAGCACAGTACCATATAGAAATAGCAACTTGAATCACGAGCGGTACAGTTGAGTCAGCCTGGCACTGTGATAGACCAGGCTAACAAGCCTTGCCTTTCTCAGAGGTTTGGGTATAGCACTGTTACTGTCATAACAGCTAGTTTTGCTGCTCACTTCTGCATTTTTGTACCTAGCTTCACTTTGGTGCAGATGAAGTGCACACAGAAAGCGTGCTTATGTTGTGTGAACTTTTGAAGATTCTTTGTGTCAGGATTCCTCCTGCAGCAGAGCATTAATGGTCTGATTTACTTTGTTTTCCCAGGCTTCAAAATTACAACTCCTGCCCTGTCTGTTTCTTTCACTCCCTGCCTTCGTGCTTACCTGCACTACTCTAAGTACTCTAACTTGTAGGTCAGACCTGTTTGGTATCTTCCAGTGACTGGAATAATTTGTAGTTTATGCATTGTGGGACATGAAGGGTAGTGTCTTGAGCTTTAATGTGATCAAATATGTATCTTGCAAAATACCTTTCTTTGGAATCACTCTAAATGGAAGGACAGTACGACTACATAGCTTGACAATATTAAATAGCTTGCTCAGTAAAATGTGACTGACTTTTGCCTGTGTGCATGTTAAAGCTTTGAAGTTTCTGTTATTTCAGTTTGTGGTAAACCAGGCTAATTATTTTTGAAGACCGATTATCTAACTCCCTCTAGAAGTGACTTTCAAAGTACTATTGCAAAGCCTTTAATGAAACTGTGGAATGTCAAATAATGTTCTTGGGGTGGGTTGTATTTTCTAGGTTATCTGCTCGATCCTAATGGAGAAAGATGTGTAACTGCACCTCGCCAAGTTTCTGCTCTACACCATAAAGATGTTTCAGTGTCCTTGGTCTCGGCAAGCGATGGTGCTACAGTCTGTGTTACTGAGAGAGGAGATATTTATTTACTCGCAGACTATCAGTGCAAAAAGTTGGCTTCAAAGTACGTGTTACTCTTCTAATCTGTGAGGAAGTAAGATGGGGAAAAATTTCACTGGAGTCTTATTCTTGCAAAGTGTTATAAAGATTTTTGTGTTGAAAGTGGAGATGATGAAATGATTCCTCCACATTTCTGTGCTTGTGGTAATTTTTCATATGGGCTGTACTGTTGTGCCTGCTGCCTTTTCAAAGTGGGGAGGGATGTTTAGGCTAAGGTGTTGCTGAGGTGCACTAAAGATGTTTACAAAAAAGATAATAAGAGGAAATGCAGAAAACGGTATTTTTATTCATTTATTAACGTGACTTCATATAAATACATCTTTGTAGAAGCACTGAAGCTTTGTGTTTCTCTGTTATGATTCTGAATTGGTACGTTGCTCTCTATTTCTGGGAGACAGACAACTGTCTGGGAGCAACTGACTGGATACATTGCTGTCTATTTCTGGGAGACTGTCAGACAACTAGGAGGTTGTCTGAACAGTATATGAAAAACATAATGGAAATCTTGATGAAGAAATTGGGTGTTCTGCCTCATAAGCTTATGGAATGATTTGATCTCATTCTCTCTTAGTTGCTTTGCACTAAGAGGTTAGGAGAGGTTGTTAAATGTTTCCTCAGCTCCCAACTGACTTTTCAGCTTTGGTTCAATTTTTAGCAGAATTTGTTAACGAATGCTGGCTTAATGGTTGTTTTAGATTTGTTTTTCTGCGTGATTAGTTGAAAGTTGGGGAATGTCAACCACCATTTTTGGCATTGTTACACTAATACATGGAAAACAAAGCAATTTGCATGGTATGGATTTGGAAAACTCCCAAGTCCAAAAATATTGGCTAAGATATGATCAGGACTTAGTAGTGTAAGATGGTGCTTTAATGCAGGCATTTAAAATGTATCCTGAAACGTGCACAAGCATAACATCTGTAGTCTTGAAGATCGATTGATGATTYGGTGTTTTCACTGCAGGATTTTGTGAGAAACTTGGATATGATGTGATTCATTTAGTGCAAAGCTAAAAAAAATCATGTTAATTATATTAATTATATCAATTTGGGGGTGGTAGTAATTGTTCAGTKTCAACTACCTCAGCTATAGTTTTGATGCCTCTTGAAATGAAAGAAGCAATATATACTGAAGAAATACTAATTATTCTGTGTTCTTTCAGACAGCTGAACCTTAAAAAAGTTCTTGTTAATGGAGGATATTTGGAGTACAAGGTAGATACCCAGAATCTTAAGGAAAAYGGAGGTCAGAAGATCTGCATTTTAGCACTGGATGAAGCTGGAAGAGTAAGTTATGTCCCTAAAACCACAATTACGTAGCAAGTTGCATATGGGTATGGRTGATGGGAGTCACTTGGGCTCTCCTGGCAAGCCTTTGTTTTAAATAAGAAATCTATATGAAACAGACCTTGGGGAAAACACATGCYGATATAACAGAGTAACTGCGTTCTCTTGTTTTGCTTTAAACACAAATTAACAGAATAAAATGAATAAAATCTTACACAGCAATGCCCAGCCAATTTGTATAGAGTTGTTAAGATAGGTTCTTCTGCTGTCCCCTTAGAAGGGATCACCACCATGTACAGTATTTTTTGTTGGTTTTTGTTTCTCTAATCAGCACCCCCCCCAGTGGCTTTTTTGGCGGGGTTGCAAACTCCCTTACCACTGCACACGTGTGTCTATGTAGCTTACAGGATGCGTACTTCAGGATTTTATGGTGCCATCCCTGGTCCTTACGCAGCCTGTTTCAAAGCAGCAGCCTGAGAGCTGAGCCTTCAGAGCCACCTAAGCCTTCAGTGCCATCTAGTGGTGCTCATMCGAAGGCCTGGCTACTGCCATGCCGTCTGCTTTAGTCGTGCACCAAAGAAGAGGGCAGTGTGGGTGTTCCCCTTCCTTGCATTTGATTTATTAGCACCGTGCCTTTGGGGTACTGATTTAGCTGCAAGACACTGCTCAGTTTTCCCACACTGGTAGAGCTGCGTCCACCAGTAGCATTTGAATGCTGGTAAACGCTGGGCTCTTTAGTGCTGTAGGCATTATAAAATACTGAGAAAGGTGGGATCTTCATGCTGTTATTTCCTGGATCCATACCTCCTCCTTTGAAGGCCTTCTCTTTAAGGCTCAAGAGAAGGGAAAGGAAATTATTTACTTGGATTCCTTTCCTTCTTCCTCATGTAGATGTTGTCAGACCTGTGACAGCTCCTTAAGTGGGAGGGAAAGAAAACCCAACTTTAGCACCACTGATGCAGCATCCAGGCTTTCCTTTGCTTAGGGTTGTGGCTTCACACCCACCTCTTCTTGATGTATTTCCTGTCCCTGACTGGGGTCTGGCTGTGCATGCAGTTCTCTAGGCTGCTTTTTCTCAGGTTGAATGTATTTAAATTTATTTTTGGTCATAATCTCCACTAAAAGCACAGCACTTGGGTATGGAGAAACCCAAGACTTTTGTCAAATGATGTAACTGCTTGGTATGCTAGCTTTGAGTGTAGATGATTGTGGTGCAGATGACTTAATATTCATAAAAGCTTCTTAAGTGCAGTCAGGAGCAGATGAATCTCGATGTTATAACCATTTCCTGGAGCCCCTTGTGAGATCTTTGTTATAGATGTTCGTAACACTTCAGAATAAACTTCTGAAGATGTGCAGTTTCTCCTCAGAGGCTCCTTAGATGGCATGTTCCTTTGTAGTGTATGACTGCTTTTGCATAAGAATTTTCTCTTTCTCTGCTATTACAGGTGTTTTGTTGGAAGTCATCCAACAATCCCATGAAGCAGTGTCGCTGGGTGTATGGCCGCCAGGTCTTCATGTCTGATGTTGCTTTAAATAAGAACGAAATCATGTTTGTCACGCAGGATGGTGAAGCCTTTACAGGGAGGTTTCTAGAAGACAGGAAGAAAAGCTCTGAAAAGAAAGGTTAGTTATGACTCTAGTTGTTAAGTACTTCAATGTAAAAGCATAGTTGAATCTTAAGTATTTTGCTGCCTGATGTTTAAATAAACTTTTTGGCTTTATATTATATTTCTACTTAACTCACTATCTGGTTTACATCTTTAGTTTTATAACTCTATTTTGCATTCTATCACAGCAAACTCTCTTCTCTTTCTCAAAATAGTTGCATACCAATTGATGCTCCTTTTTTTTTTTTTTTTTTTTAAATTTTTCATGTCATATAGTACTTATTACAGAAGCATCAAATGCATCTCCTTTCACCTGTCTTTGTCCGGGTGCTGAGATGTGACTGCAGGCACCCAGAGTGTTTTTTTAGTTATTATTACTATTATTATTATTTATTGCTATTATTATCTTCAGGGGAACTATTGTATATTGGTAAACTCCTTTATTCCAGAAGAGACTGCAGTACTCGTTAGGTGGAATTATTTCGTTCTATACGAAGAGGCAGCAAGACACTTCCACAAGAATCTTTAGATTAAAACTATCCTATGTGTCACTAAGCTCTTAAAACATCTTCTGCATTTCAGCTAAGAGCTGAAATCTTCAGATTGATCCAGCTTTATTCAGTGACTTTGCTGATGGGCTTGAAGAAATCATAAATGTCATCTTATTGCCTTTAACCTTTGTGTGTTTTTATATATATTTTTTAGCAGAACTTGGATCAAGCCTTCAGAATTCCTCATGTGAAGTGTCTTGTCAATATGATACAAACAGTGTGTATGAACGAATTCGCCTTCAGAAGCTGGCGTTTGTCCACCGAGCTGTAAGCATTGCCACAGATCCTAATGGGTGCAATTTTGCTGTTTTGCAGTCGGATCCTAAAACAAGGTTGGCTTAAAATATCAACAGCTATAATCTTCATGTGTGTGTTGTTTGTTTTGTTCCCTTCCCCACCCCCGGCCCCGTTCTAAGATGAAAGTGAATGGCAGTCTTTGGGGAAAAAAATGAATAAAGATAAAAGTAATAAATAGAATACTGAATCACATTCCTTGCACACTCTTATTAGTTTCCAGTGTATATGATACATGACTGCCAATTAGCCTTTTTCTTATTGCTTTGAATTATAGCATGAAGTATAGTAAACACTTCTGTGTCTCCTTGTTTAAAAATGACTTGAAGATAAGGTAGTTTTGATGATTTATCTTTACTGTCTTCCTTATAAAGAAAAAAAAATGCTATATATAATATTATGATCTTCCTTATGTGTTTTGAATTGCCTCCATAGCATATTGTTAGTAAATATGTAAGGACTCGGACATGAAGCTTTTGATTAGTCCAGCAAAGCAAGAAAAACTTAAAACACCTCCCCCTTTTCTTCAGAGATGCTGAATCATGTAAAGCTGTATGTAGTTTGTATTTAAAAAAAAAAAAAAAAATAATATTTTTAATTTTGTTCTAGTCTCTATGAAATTCCAAGTGTGTCGTCATCAAATTTTGGAGAAGATTTTGGCAAACTTCTAGATGAAGCAGATGAAATGGACAGCATCCATGATGTGGCTTTTCAGATTGGCACAAGAATTTACCCTGTGCACAAATACATCTTGGCTGCGCGCTCTGACTTCTTCAAGAAGCTGTTTATTTCCAGTGATAATCCACTCGATGTTCCAGATGTCTACCGTAAAGATGAAGATGCTGTTGGATGTGATCTCTATGTAATAGAGAAGGTTCATCCAGAGCTGTTTGCATATCTTCTGCAGTTCATATACACTGATACTTGTGATCTTCTGACTCATGGTCACAAACCAAAAATCATGCATAAAGAAAAATCGGAAGAATATCAAGATGTGTTAATTTCTAACCTGAGCAAAATGAATTTTGATGAAGATAATGGGAAGTCTGCATTTGAGATCTACAGAAATAATCAAGTGCAAGTTATAAATGAAAAACAGAAGAGCAAAACTAAAAAAGGCAAAGTTGCTGGTGAAGAAGTTAACCTCATAAAAATGTTGCAAAGTGCTGCAAAAAAGTTTGGACTTGGCAATTTAAGTGGAAGGTATGTGAGGGGAAGTACATTCATATTCTGGAACATGTCTATGGTATGATTTACTTGACTTGATTCAACTTCAGTTGGCATGAAATTAGGAGGTTAGTTAGGGTCAATTAGTCTGCCTTTTGGTTTTAAGGATGAAAGTTGCACTAGTGTCGTGCATTGTCCGCCTTTCAGCACAAGATCAGCTTGTTCTGACGTCTTTTTCCCTGAAAACATGTATGACATTTTGAATAATGTCAGAAGCAGAATTCCCTGGTGTGATTCAGTAGGTAAGGCAATTCTTTCCGACTGGCTTCTGTGTCCTGACAAGGGGCTGTTTGCCCTTTATTCTGTTTTGGTATCTCTTGAAGGTTATTTAGAACATCTAGCCTAGCATCTTTGGACTGTGAACTCTTATGGGTTTGACATCCAGTGCAAGTGACCTGACTTTCCAGACTGACTACCTTAAAACATTGATATCAGTTTTGCTAGAGACAGTGGATTTTACCAAGTGTTGGATAGATGGAGTCTTATGCTGCGGCCCATACTCTTCTATTATTTTTGTAGATGGTGAGCACATTTAGCATATAACAGTAAAAAGTGAAGTCAAGTACTTGTTCAACTGATGCTCTTTTAATGTTATATGAGGAAAGTACTGGAAATGAAATCAAATGTGTCTCAACTATATGTATATATTTTTCCTGTATTTGTCTCCTTTCAGAAAAGGAAATTAGCTTTCAGGGCAGTTTTCTTGTGTACGCTACATAAAGATGTGAAGCTGCTACTAAAACTGGATGCTCATGTAAAATTTTCCTTTGAAAATAAACTATTTTCTAATCTACTAGCAACACCCTTGGATGTTGTGCTAGAACACGTCTTCTTTACACCATTCCCTTTGCCCCTGGTCAGATACCTAAGTAATAAATCACAGAACGGTTGAGGTTGGAAGGGACCTCTAAAGATCATCTAGTCGAACCCCTCTGCTCCAGCAGGGACACCCAGAGCACAGGGCAGCATCCAGGCAGGTTTGGAAGATCTCCAGAGAAGGAGACTCCACAGCCTCCCTGGGCAGCCTGTGCCGCGGCTCTGTCACCCTCACAGGGAAGAAGTTCTTCCTCACATGGAGCTGGAACTTTCTCTCTTTCAATTTGTGCCTACTACCCTTTGTTCTATTGCTGCCCACAACCGAGAAAAGTTTGGCCCCATCCTCTTTACATTCTCCCCTCAGGTATCTGTATATGTTACAGATCTTAATCTTCCCTTATAAATGTAATTCTTGTTTTTTTGACCTTGAGATGATGGGCTTAAGGCTTAACTACAGCAGTATAACTTGAAGAGAAGTAAGATTATTTTTACACTTTAGCTATATCGGACCCATTTTGTGCCTTGCAATGAGGACTTTCAAGAAATGACCAAATCAATCTAGTTTTCTGTGATGTGCAGTTTTGATTCTTTTTTTTCATAATTTATAATATGAGCCTATTGAAAGGCTGTTACTGTTTCTTTTAATAGTTGGAACTATATATTAATTGTATTTATTACTGCTCTTTTGCAGGTTGGATGGAGTCAAATTAGAAAATGGAAAGATAAACGTTGTCAACAGGAAAAATGGGAACAAACCAAAGTTGAATCAGAAGAAATGGTAAACTTGCACAATTGGATTGTGTGTGTTGTTTCTTCTTTCCCTTCCTGCCCCCCACCTCCCCATTTCTCTCTTCTGTCGTCTCTTAGACTGAGCTTTAACTTCTAGTTTATATGCCTCTAACTCTTGTTCGGAAGCTAAAGCTGTTTATAGGCTGATATATGAATTGGTAATCTGGAGCAGGTTATATATATTCTTTTGCTTCTTTCTGTTATATGTTAACATATTCTGTGGTTGAATTGTGTTGAGGAATAGTAAGGATGGAAAATCTTGAGTAGTACAACTAAAGTACAGTCTGACTTTTGCAAGAATATTTTTCACTGTTAGTAAAACTGAAGTGGATTAGAGATAAACAAATGTATCATTTTTCAACTGAGGAAAGTCTCTGAAATATCTTTCAGCAGAAAAAAATTCACTACACTTTAATCCTGTTGCTCACTTCAATTCCATTGTTCTGATAACATTATTTATAGGATGGTACTAGAAGCTGAATAATACATACAATAAAAGGTATGTTAAACTACCTTTTTGTAGAATTTGGCTTACCTTACTCATAAAATATACTACCGAATCTTATGGTAGCTATTGATCAATAATAAACTTAATGCAGACCACTTGAAATTAGCTAAATAATTTGATTATGGCTGGCTTTAGTCAGAGTATTTTGAAACAGTGACAGTATTTAAAATGAAATTACTCTGCCTTTTGAGCAGCTTTGCTTCAAGTGAAGAAGATCCATCTTCTGAAACTGTTGTGCCTGTTCTATTAGGCTCATTTCAGCTGACATTATTAAAATTGAGTGTATTCTATTCGAAAAGCCTCAACTTGCTTAAAGTATGCAAGCGTTTATTGTAGTTTATATTTTATATGTATATACTTCCGAATAGTCATAGTTCTGATCCCATTAAATGTCTTCTAGTTCATACCTCTGCGATGTGACCCTGAAATCCTTAGATGGAAAGGAATTCCCGTGTCATAAATGTGTACTTTGTGCAAGACTTGGTATGTGTATATACATATACATTTTTTTCTTTCTGTGAATGAAATTTTACTGCATCTCAAGCTGAAACTACTTTCTTTTCAGATTATTTTCACAGCATGCTTAGCAGCTCATGGATTGAGGTAAGCTTGCTAATAAAGATGTGTAATGTTAAGTTTTAATGCATCAAATGAGTGAAAATGTCATTCCAGAGCAGCATGTTCTAAATAAGTGGGAAAGTAAGAGACTAGATGTTTGGGTTCCATTTTCAAGGCAAAGAAATCATCTTTGGTTTATCTGAACTATTGAGATTCTGTGTTATATGATAATGTGTATTAAAAATTTTTTTTTTACTTTGTTTTAAATGTGTATATTGAGTTCAAGAGTGTATAAAAGGTATCAATCTACTCTTGAAGGAGGCCGATACCTGTAGATGAATTTTCATGTCCCTTCCGTAAGTGATTGTACAATGTAAATGATGTTCATGCAGTCTGGAATAATTTGGGAAAGTACTGAGTGGAAGATAGTGCAGAATAAAGAATTGGTGTATAGAATCCCTACTTGAGATCTGCTGCTAAAGAAATGGAGAATGTCAAGGATAGTCTGACCTTTTTTGATTGCTCTCTAGCTTCTTCTTCCAAAGGTGCACATTTCTTGCTCTGTTTGCTAGTGGTTTGTCAACGGCCTGATTGTCACTGGGCATCCTAATGTCCTTAAATCACTCTTGTTTTAAGAATCAGGATGTGTTGCTAATTCTGAATGGAAGAGAGGAAATGTGCAAATGGACCTGCAGTGACTGAAGCAACCTGCAGGGATTTCCAACTTTCTTTAGCATTTGGCAAGATGTAAATGTAAGAGCTCAGCAAAATATTGGCAGCTCTTTTGTCAAATGATAAAGCTTTACCTCTCCGGATGCGTTTTTCTCACTTGCCCCTGAGGAAACATTTTTGGAAACATTTTGAGGTGACTGATGGAGGAAAAAAAAAAAGTCAATTGTCTATTTTATCAGTGAATTCTGTATTAGCTTTGTGAAGATCATGAGTTAAATCTGTTATTTCGTAAGTAAAACTAAATCATTCTAAATTTGTAAGTAATGCATTTTATAGATCACCTGTTTTCAACCTTGTATCAAAAAAAGGAGAAAAATCTAAATTCCTTCAGAATTTTAAAACTTGATATAGGAAATACATTGGTATCAGTCACATCTCCTAAAGCAAAAGAAATATTTTAATATCAAGCTTTGCTGCAAGTCACCTGAAAAGATGGAAGCTAAGTTTAGTGAAGTTGCATAAATTAATGTCAGATACACAGTTTAATGGCTAATGTTGACTCTTACCCTGAAAAGAATGGAGTTCAGTACTTATACAGGGGCTTTATGTAGCTCTATGTTATCCTTAACAAAAAAAAAAATCTTTTTGTTTTTTAGGCCTCCTGTTGTTCAGCTCTGGAGATGCCAATCCATTCTGATATACTACAGATAATTGTAGATTACATGTACACAGATGAAGCTGTTGCAATAAAAGGTACCAGTAACATATTTTGAACAACTGTAGGTTCTGCAAGTTTCATATTTTTTTAAAATACAAACTGTATGTTTGCTTTGTTTGATGTGGAAGATCCCCATTCACGTGACTCTTGCTTTAAATTTTGGGGTAACAGCTGTTTATCCTAAGCCTTRTCTTACTCTTTTGTTAGCTTGACAAACTTCAGTATTCCTTTTCCCCCACTCCTGTCACCTCAAAAGGCAYCCTTTTGCCCTTGTCAGTACTGTTGCTTGCTCTTAGGAAATCCTGTCAAAATTGCAGAGCTGGTACATTTATCTTCTACTAAATCTCACTGAAAGCTTCATCTGTTGTAGCTGTCCCAGTGTCTTCCTCCACTTGGCTCCATTATGATTTGCCCAGTGTTTATGGGATGCTGTTGTCTTCTAGATTCTCAAAATGTGGAGTTTGTATGCAATGTTCTTGTGGTGGCAGACCAGCTTCTTATATCCAGACTCAAAGAAATCTGTGAAGTGGCCATTGCAGAAAAACGTGAGTTCTCCCATTATGTGATAATGGTTTAAAGATATACACACTTATGTTGTAAATGTTAGTGCTCGTGTGTTTGTTTTTTTTCTTTCCTGCTRTGTATTTCACTAGAGAATTAGTTGCTCATATTCATTTCCTCTGGTTTCCTTTTGCTGTTCATTGTGCAACTGTAATGAACTGCCTATTTAGTGTGGATGATATTCTAGGTTAGTGCAATTTTCCTTTCCTGATGGTTTTTTTCTCTTCCATCTCACTGTCTTGGAAGCAGACGGAAGCGGGGCTTGAGGCAAARCTAACTTTTACTTTTGCCAGTATCTGTCTTTTTTTCAATAAATTTTAAATCCTTGCTTTTAAAATATCATAGGATTTTTCACCTCTTCTCCCCAACCGCCCTCAGTTGTGATATATTGAAACTGTCTATTTGTAGGTAGGACATTTCTATCTCTGAAGCAGCTATTGCATTCAGGCTGCTGCCAAGTTTTACGTGGCGCTTGCTGTAGGTTATAACTTTCTGAGTGYTAGCATTTTCTGTAGGGTAAGAAAAGAGTATGTTTTTTCCTGGTATACTTTAATAACCTGGTGATACTCAGTACGAGCCTTTAAACTKCTAAGTGAGACTACAGCATGCTGTCTAGTTTAATTAATTGTGCCTGCTGTTTGCAGTGACACTGAAGAATGCCGCGGAGCTGCTGGAGTTCTCAGCAATGTATAATGCTGAGCAGCTCAAGCTGTCCTGCTTGCAGTTCATAGGACTCAACATGGCTGCTTTGCTTGAGGCCAGGTAAGGAGGGATGCAGATGCATGTTGTGCACAAGCTGTTAAATTCATGTCTTGCAAAAAACAAAATGGTTGGGGAACTTACAGGGGCAAGTAAGTGTTGAAATACAACTAAATGCTGCTAACTTGAAAGGAAGCTCGCTTATACGAAAAAGGGAGCAATTAACTGGTTTCATTCTGAACATTTTATCAGTGATATAGTACAAGACTGTGTTGCAGCCTGAATTAAGGGGAGAAATTTTTCTTGAGTTTTGTGGCATTTGAGATTAGTCCTAAGTTTGTTCAAAATAAGTAGGCCTATTTTAGCTAGTGCATTTTCTAAAGAGGATGAGCCTGACTTTTGATCATCTCTTTTTTGACCTTGCTATAGGCAGTTAAAACAAAAAAGACTCTAGTGCTTGCTTAACCGATGTTCGGCTAGGCTTCTAGGAAAGTGGAGATTTTTGATAAAGAAAAGGAAAAGCCCAGATAAGGCCTCAAGTTGCTGCTGGAGTATCTATCATCTTCTCGGGGCGATCTTCCCTCATCTTTTCTGGCAAAGACTTAAAACAAGGAAAAAAAAAAAATCAGCTCTTGATGTTCCACTCTGTTTATCCTAGGCTTTTTGTCATATTTTTGGTTTACTTATAGAGGTTCTTAAAGATGTTTCTGGTTTAGTAAGATGTTAAAGATGACAACACTTCTAGAYTGTCATATCACTGCTCTGCTTTTATCACACATACTGGAATTTGTGCTTAGTTGATCATAGTATCATTATTGTTGGAAAAGACCTTGAGGATCATCCAGTCCAACCGTGAACCCCTCACCGCCCTGCCTGCTAAACCCTGTCCCCAAGTGCCTCATCGACACATGTCTTGAACACTGCCAGGGACGGTGACTCCACCTTTTTCCTGGGCAGCCTGTTCCAAGGCTCCACTACTCTTTCTGTGTAGAAATTCTGTGTAATATCTAACCTGAACCTTCTCTGGTTGCAATTTCTGTGTATAGTTTATTCTGGAGAAGAGATTGACCCCTTATCATTACACTTTGTTCTACTTTTGACCTGTCTCAAGCCTATTAGATTAAAACTTAGTCCTTTCACCTTTATGCAAAGAGAGCCTTTCACAAAAGCTAGACCTCTTTAGTAAAGCTTGGTCATTACAGTATTTATTTGTCATAAATATAAAAAAATGAATCTGTGGCCACCATGGATAAATTTTATTTGGAATGTATCTAGGAATCSTTTGATTAATGTTTGTCGAGAGAAATTTGGTTTTGTTTATTTATAAGTATGGTAAACTAAATTTGCATTACTTTCTTAGAACTCTGGATGTCCTAAGTGATGAAGTTGTAAAGGACCTTTCAGTTTATTACAGGAAAATGGTAAGTTGTACAGTGAGTGTAAGATGACTAAGTTTAAAATAAGAAGAGATACATACATGCAGTGCCTGTTGTTAGACTGAATGCAGGGCAAATTAAGGCCCTGCAATTAATTTTGCAAGGTAAATTAAGGTTTGCTGTTCCTGTTATTGTCATGGACTTGGTATCTCCTTTCGTATGTTAGCCACTGGCACAATAGTATTGTGTCCTTTAAATATTTTACTTACAGATTTTAAAGGTACTAATATTCTCTATTTTTTTTTTGGTTAAAAAAGGTTTATTGAAAGTGGCATTTGTTATTAGCTAGCAGAAAGCAGACACAAGCAAATGAGACTTTGTCTAGTGAAAATGCAGTGTGGACAAATAGGAAAAAATAGATAGGAAAACGGTTTGAAAGTTGAAGCCTTGGGTGTAAGAGGAGAACCAAGGTGCATCATAATCCAGTGTGCAGGAGTAAAAGACTTTGCATAACTCCAAAGCCTTGTTCTGTCAGGAGTCACTGGCATTTGAAAACTATGTGCATTGAGTCTGTCATTTAAAGTTTTGATTTTCTTAAAGATGTTACTTATGTTTATAAACACTTTGTTATTCATTACTGGGTTTTTAGGAGATAAATTACTGTGATTTTTTGGTCATTGTGCAAGAGATTATATATCTGCTAACATACAACTTAAGAGAAATACAGTAACAGTTTTTATGATTACAGATTCCAGCTATGGTCAGGAGAGTAATTACTCCATATCCAGATGGACCCGACATAAGTTCTTTGGACCCTGAAGATGGAGAGAACTTTGTCTTTTTAAAGGATGAAATGAACACAGAACAAAATTCTCAGTAAGATTTATTGTTTAATTCCCTCGTTCCCTTTTAATTCCTTTTGTTATATCTTTAACTAGGAGACCTGTGTATGGTGTTCAGGCACTTTGGGTATTGCCTGACTACTGGTTTCAAAGTTGAAGCATGAAAAAACAAAAGGGATGGAGGTTTTGGACTACTTTCTGCCCTCTTTAATATTACAGAATGTTGCAGACGTGCAATGGGATGCTTTCAATCAATAAGAAAATGTATGAGCAAAGGTGGCAAAAGGAGTATTCACAGTAATGTCTGAGCCTAATGCGTRTGAGAGAGCACCTGCATACGTGGAGATCAGCTGCACAGTTCTTTGAGCTTTTCTGAATTGAGAAAGACCAAGTGAAGTGAAAATAGAGAGTTTAATGTACTGCAGATCTGTTTGGAGAATGTCGATAATTTACACYTCTGAGTCTAACAGATTTTTCCTGTAAAATAGTTCTGAAAAAGGAATTCTCAATGTACCGCTTTGAAGCAGKTAGTGGCTCACTGGAGAATAACAAAACAAGCTACCTGTATTTTAGGAATATTAGGAAACATGATCAAACCAACTGTAATTTACAGATAATTTGGTTAATTTGACCTTGGTCAGTTTATAGATGTATGATATTCTGCTTTTCAAGACCTTTTTGTATAGACATGGATGTGACAAAATATTTAAAGTCTTGCCAGGCTAATATGATACGTCTCTTCTCTAACTGCTTTCTAACAATAAATATGCTTTTTCGTTTTTTTAACTAGAAAACTTGGCTGTGACGTTATCACAAATATGGAAAATTAAATTGATAGAATGAGTTGGCAGCATATTCTTGACAGAGGTAGCAAAAYAGAATGTCAGTGTAATGTCCTCTGGAACATTGTATGCTGTTCTGACTACTTGCATCAAGAAAGTTCATACTAACTAAACTGATCCAGAGAAGGGCTAGTGGGTAAGGGAACTGAGATGCTATTTTGAATAAAGCTGCAAGCCTAATCTACCCTGTGGATAGGGGAGTATAAGGATTTAAAAAAAAAAAAAAAAATGTTACAATATTGATGTAAGAGTTGGCTTGCAGTGTACCTAGAATAAACTTATTGAACAGATTTCTTTTTTTCAGTAGAGAATGGTATAATTCTCCATTATAAAGCTCTTCGCAAGCTCTAGTGGTTTTGCCAAGATCAAAGACACCTTTTATTTGATTTCACTTTCCTAATAAGTATAGGAAAAAGTAACATTTTGGTAGTATGACTTTTACTTGCTCTGAAGTCTTTATAGCTTCAGTATTTGTCTTGGGGAAAGAGCAGCAATTTTGCTTTCTGTCAGTTGCTCCGAAAAGTAGCTGGTTTAACCTGACCTAGGTAGCAGTGCCAGCTCAGGCAGTCGCTTTATCATGTGCTGTCTCAGCATTCGTGCCGTGGAGCACATCCAGGTGGAGAAGAATTGTTGTCTTCCTCCTAGATTACTTTTCTAAGAGTTTACTACAGAGTTGTGCCAATGTAGTGGTAATATCAGACCAAGACCAAGSAGCTACTGGGAGTAGCTACTGGGAGTAGGTCTTGCTGTTTGAAGTTTAATTGCAGCAGCTGTCTGAAAAACTTGAGGTTGATGCTGATAATTCTGAGTCTTTATTTCCTGAGTGCTGTAATTTATCTTTTGTTAATAGGGAAGCCCTTTTCAAAAGAGCAAAAAACAAGGCCAAGAAGAAGCCACGGAAACGATCTGACAGCTCTGGAGGGTATAACCTGTCAGATATCATTCAGAGTCCAGCCTCTACAGGTCAGTGCAAAAGAGGTTCCATTCAGATATAAAAATACAGCATCAAGTTTAATAGGTAAAACCAATAAATTTCTGTAGTTTAATAAGCAAATCTTGCAATGTTCTTTTCTTTCTGATAATTGAATCCGTGAAATGATTGACTCAGTTGAATTCTATAAAGTTCTGTTTTGTTCAAAAAGAAGGTTGTCATCCTAAGATTGTGCCCAAAGCTCATATTCTTTAAAAAAACATGTTTTCTATCAAAAGTTGTCCTCTGTGTTTCTAATGTATTTTTATAATTTTTTTCCTAGAATATGAAAAATAAGTCACTTTTTATTTGAAATACAGTAAAACATCTATTTTCAACAGAWTAGTTTCTCTTTTAAGTTCTCTAAGGTAAAGAGGGGAAGATAGGAGTAGTGTTAGTCTGCCAAAATACTTTAAATTGTAAAGATTGCTTATAGTTGTACTAGACTGGTTACATCTTTTGACTATTCTATATTTAGAATATTTTTTCTTCGCATTTTTTAGGTCTGCTTTCATCATATGATTATCATTTGCTCTTATTTCTTAGGCTCAGTAAAGCTGGATAAAACAAATTCTGTGGAGTCGCTTCCAGAACTCTTAACGTCCGACTCTGAAGGCAGCTATGCAGGCTTGAGTAGCCCAAGAGACTTGCAGTCCCCTGACTTCACAAAAGGATTTCATGCAGAGAGGCCTGAGGTTGGCATCCTTTCTTCCTAGTAACTTACATTCTTCCTTCTTCACTGATTGATACTGTTTGTATTTATCTAATCCATAAAAAGAAAGATTTGCAGTTGGGAGTGTGTTTTGAGAAGAAGTTGCCCTTAAAAGGGAATAGAGGTCTTGTTTTAARTACATGTTGTTTATCTGATAGAATAAATAAAAATAAGTAATTCCTATTAAGTCATCTGATGGTGGTTTACTCCTGTAGTATTTTAATTTTTATATGTTATAAKGCTTAAAATCTGAGTGCAGAATATCAAATTTGTGAAGTCTTTACTCATTTCTTCACTTAAAATATAAAGCAGATCTGAACTTCAGAAGAAAAAAACAATCTCTAGAAAAAAAACTAATGTTTTGGGGCTATTGTAGTTGAACAGTTCTACGTACATACTTGTTATAGCTTTGAAAATGCACATCTTGGAGTCAGTTTTCATTTACCAAGAAGCAGATTTGCACTTGGGTAGTACAGAACAACAACAACAAAAAAGTATAAATAAATAATGCAGACTAAGCATTAGTGGATTAACTAAGTTACTGTCTATTTCTAATGTATTCTTCAAAATGTTTCACATGTCACTCAAATTGCTTGCAACATCCTTCAAGTAAAAAAAAAAAAAAAAAGAAAAAGAAAAAATGTAAGAATACTTGTGCAACAGGTATTGTGGTTTTTATTTTTTTAGATGAAGGACAAACCAGGTAATCAGGGTATTAAAGCCTCAAARCCGATCAAAGATGGGAAGTCGTGCRAGGGATCACCAGCAGTGGCACAGTCTGTTCCACAGTCCATTCCCAGCACCAAAACCAGCTCAGCAAGCTCTCCCAATTGGGTTGCTACTAGTTTCAGGTGGAGTAATAGTTATAGTAATCATTATTTTACTTGCAAAGTGTTCTTTATTTGGTACTGTATGCCTATAATTGTCTGTTCAGAGTAAAATGCTAACTGCTATTCAAGCTGGTTGTGTATCAGGTACTATGAACTTTGCCAAACTAAAAATGTCAGCAGACTACAGCAGTCTAAGAAAACTGATGGATTTTCTTAATTTTGTTTGGAAAATAAAATGATAGATACATAAATGTATGGTTAACCCTATATAAAATATTTTCAGCATTCTGAAAATTAGKCAAAAACATTGTTTTAGAGAATAGTGTAGCTGAAGCCATTAGAAGTACCATTGTATTTTGGCATTTTAAGCTATATCTTTTGGCTTAAATGGTCTCTTTAAAAAAGCAACACCTCAGCTTTAACTGATACAGTAATAAATGAATTGTTGATTCTTACTTTTGGCAGTATCTGCATGCATAAGATTAAGCATACTGTACTAGCCTTGCCTGGTGTTCTGTCTCTGACAGTTACCTATACAGAATCCAGAAAGGAGACGTTAAGGATAGAGCAATAATCTACTTGAGTTTTCCCAGCCCTTGCTGGTTTGTGGCTAATGGGCTTTGTGAATACAGGTTAGCAGTTGTAAAACGTAAATCTTATCTCTGAACTATCTCATTTGGCCAAAGGGGATTTTTCAGGCTCTGGTACTACTGACATGTCAAGGAAAAGCTGCAGCAGTGTCATGTAAACTATTTTAAGGGTTAATATTCCAGAGTTAATGCTCCAGTGTTGAGCAGAAGTGAATACTGAGTTCGGGGTCAGCTCCCCTGTGTTAATATAACAGTCAGCCTATGACAGCTGGTTTTGTGAAGGCAGAGGCAGGCAGATAAATGAACAGCCAGTGCTGTTTATGAAGCAGGTTTCAATGTCTGTTTGTGCTGAAGTCTGACTCTAACACTGCCTAATTCGCAAGTGTCTTCAAAAGTTTACAAATACCTAGATGTAATTCGCTTACATTTCTGTGAAAGCTTAAAACTAGGTCTTTTACAGATAAGAAACAGTTTCCCAAACTGTGAAAACATTTAGTTGCAAAACTACTAATTTTGCAAAGGATCTTCTTGGCATATAAAATAATGTTAATCRTATTTTTCAAAGAAAGATCTAATTAAGCCTCTGAAACAGCTCTGATTGATGCCTCTAATTCTTTGCATGGGCAGTTAACTACTAAATAAGTATCCTGAACTGACTCTTTAAAGTAATCACATATTTTTTCATTCCAAAATGCCTCGAAAGTATTTTTGCAGTGTGATCTTAAATATGTATATATTTATAGAATGCTTCTGACAAAACTTTTATTTGAGGTTTGCCATAATTGAGGAAATGGACATAAATTATACATCTGGTTACCAATCATATGTATGATTTGGAGGGTTTCAGTGAAGGTTGTAACTGTGGAATGTAAGTAAAAATGAGTGCCTTGTAAGGTAACTTTTTATTTTTCATTTAGCCCCGCCAGCCCTCCTGCGATGGATTTAAGAACCATCATGGAAATTGAAGAAAATATGCAGAAATGCGGAACCATGCCAAAGACAAATTCAGGGTTGGTAAAAACCAACATCTATAAAAGTAAAATGTGATAGACCAGGCTATTATGAATTTACTTAGTGGTTCAGACAATTCAGAGTCTAAAAGAAGCAAGAGAAAAGTTGACTTTTTGTTTTAGAAGTGTTTTGTTTACTTTGTTAAGATGTTTCTCTGTGAGCATTYAGAACTTACCCCTTTTTCTCTGCTTTGCCAACTGCCTATCTTCATCATTAAGAATATGTTAGAAATGACTGCTTAAACGGATATGTCTACTTGGTTGAATTTGCTTATTTCCAACCAAAAAGATTTAACTCTTAGGAAACTGCTTGTGGACCAGCACTGTAACTGACGCTCAAGTGCTGCTCTTGCTCACATCCTCTGACCTCCCCAGCACCCAGATGTTGACATGCTTGTCAATCTGTTCTCAGTTAGGGCACCCCTAGTTCGGAGAAGTACCTCAAATACAGCACAAGAGGTGTGTGTCTTCGGGGGCAGAGTGTTAAACCTAGCATTTCTTAAATGGAGAGGCATGGAAGAGAACTGTGGAGGTGACACACATGACATTGTATAATGTGACACTGCTAGAAAGGAGAGCCAGGATATAACCCTGGAGCCCTCCAGTAAGCTAAATTTTTGAATAATTTAAAGGACGTTTGTTCTTCTTACACCTTCTGTCTTTGTAATACCAATTCACAGCAGAATGGCTTCTCATGGAATCAGACTTTCCCAGAAGCAAAGGAAAATGATTGCCCTGGCAGCAAAAGATAATGGATCAGTAACTAGCAGCGGGGAGACTGCTCCAGTCATGACCACACCACCCACACCTACAAAAGTTGCAAAACTAGGGAATGCATGGTATGTTGTGATTCACTTCTGTGTTTTGGGCGGATTTTCACGTTGAGAAAATGAGTCAGAAATTTTTCTTATATAACCTTGGTTACACTCATTGCAGAAGACTGTGTTGAGTTACTTGTATCTCTGTTTGGTACTTTAAATGTGTGAAGGGGTGATGGAAATATAGTGGTTATAGTTTAACACTTCAAAACTTTGCTACAAYGAGTTAGAGGATCATCCTTTTTGGCCCTTGACTGTATGTGTGGTATTTGTGGACAGTATCAAAGTGAAGTTTAGGAAGATGGTAGAACATGATCTATTACTGACAAAGTTTCAGAACTTTTGAAAAAAAACTTTATGAATGCTGTTTTCCTCTGTGAAAACAGCTGGAGGAGGAAAACCAAAATGACTTTTGGAGCAGAGCAGTTATGGACCAAAAAGTAGATAACAAAGTTTGGATACAAACAGGATACTAGCTAGAGGGAGTAATGGATGCTACTACCAAGAATTATTGTGGTAAGTATGTGGGAGATGTGTTTAAATTGGCTTTTAATGCCAATTATATGCAATTTAAATATCAAAGTTGATATCGCTGTATCTGATAGAATAATAGATTTATCATGTGCTCAAAGAACTAGCTTTACAGCAGTGAATGTTACATCAGTGAATGCTGTCCTGATCTGTGCTGCTTTTCACAAATACAGTRTGTGCTTTAGCTTGACTTGAGGTGAACACAGGGCAGTTCTTTGTCTTTTCCCATTCAAGAACTCTCTTTGGTAACAGCTTGTTTGTCTATTGGTATACAAATTGGTATTTTGGTATTTTACTTTTAATTGGTATTGGTATTTTACTTTAAGACACAAGTCTTAAGGCACAAGTACAAGTTTTTGACAATGGCTACATACTGTACATTCAGCTTTATGGTTAAAAAAGGATTTTACTATTTTATAGGGCMTTTCAGAGATCACCTAAGTCTGCTCCAGAGTGATAAATATTGCAGTGGATGAATGTGTGGTGAATTCAAACTAGTGTGGTAGGATACAGCCTTTAAGCACTGATAAAAAAAAAAAAAAAAAATAGTGATAGCAAGGGCTTCCCCAAGAGTTGATGAGAGCAGGGTTAAGAAATCTGCTCTCTAGACTTTTGGTTTGATTATAGCTAAAAGAATTGGTGATATGTTTCCAGTGTCCAGTTTCTAAGCTTAATCTATGCTGCTATTACAGCAGATACTTATAAAAATAACTGCCTAAGAAGACCTCGTTTTAAAAATACATCCAATGTATTTCAGGTGAATCTAAGGAAAGAGTAATTTTTTTGTTCTCTACAGGTAGGGCTTAACATGCATTTTCTCAATTTGCTTTCATCCATGTACACTTAATACCAAAATTCAGGAACTTACTGCCTCTTGCTTCCCCTTTTTCCCTTGCCTTCTTTTCCCTCCACCCTCCAGCCCTGACAAATGTTATCCTTAAGTCACCTTGCGCAAAGTGGACTATTTTTCTTTTTTTAAACAGACTGGTAGACTCTCGGTTCTTAACTACAAAGGAGCTCATTCTGTCAGCTGAACTGTAACTGGTATGTCTAGAATGGGAGAAACCTGTTTCTTCCCATTGTAGGATTTGTCTGACTGAATTCTCATGAGCGGATGAATTTCAGAATGCTCAGCATGGATCACCGGGAATGCTCCCCAGAGCACGGTGCTTCCTTTGTGTGGGGTTCACCAGCTAATGCAGGTCAAGGAGCAAATTGATTATTTAGCTTAGTGGCCTTATAGCACCTCCAGTAACTACAGATTTGGTTTAAAAATTTGCACAGAGACCCTGCCAGCTGAATCAAGATGGTGACCAACCTGAGGAATACTGAGTTGTATTATTCCTTATTAAATAAAAACATTCCAGCCACTGTTTTCAATCTTATTGCTAATGTCACAATTATGCCTAAACAACAGGTAACCGAACACCTGCAGTGACCCTCAACTCCCTTACCAACAGTCACATGGGCCCATTCACACACTAATTAACCTGTGAAACTGCTTTTTCACACATCACAGAGTGTGTTGCAAGCCCAGCAATCCTTACGGTGCTGCCCAGCCCAGGGCAGGGTGAAAGGGTGTCCCTTGGCTGRTGCCAAGGGCAGCTGTGGTGGGCAGTGCTGGGGCACGTGCTGGCTGCTTGGCTGCCTCCGCTTGCTCTGGAGGCTCCAGGGACTCTTCCCCAGAGCGGGCGGTGCTGGAGCCAGTGCTCGTCATTGCTGGGCCGGGCACTTGGTGCCTGGGTGGTTTCAACCAGTCGTTGAAAACATCAGTTCTCTCTGTTGGTATATTAACCTTCTTAAAGCTGCACTTTTTTATGTTTGTCTCCCTCAGACCTTGGGAATTGAGGGAAGACCAGGATAGGATTCCTCTCTAGGAGGATGTAGCTGTGAGTTTTCTAATCTCCGTATACAACTTTTAAATATAAGCCTGAATTAGGCTTTGCAGGATGTTGTGTAGCTATTTTTCAATTTAAAATAAATGGCTCTTTAGAGCAAGTATCTGCCCTAAGTTGACTTAAGCACATGAAATACAGCAGCTCTGCCAAAGGGCATTAAAAATACACAGCATAAATACCTTAGTTTGGTATCTGAATAGGCTGACAATTCATACTATTCACCTACCCTCCCTACTAGTTGAGTATARTTCAATTTTAAGCTATTGATTGCTTACAAAAGCAATTGGAAATTGGAGCCTTAATGCTCCAATTAAATAGATTTTTAGAAGTATCAGGGCACTACTGTGCTATATGAACAACCTTAAGGGAAAGGGCAGTCTATACTTTTGGGGGATAGAATCCAGTTTAATGTTCATGTGGTCACACGTGCTTCTAAATGTTCYTTTGCAGAGTTTCTCTGGCTGCTAATCTGGAAAATGGCCATGGCCCAAGAGTTAAGGCAAAGAATAACTGAGGAGTATGTGAATATTTCAAATTAACATCTAGTTGTTGGCTAAGAGCATTTGCTAAATGAACCTTAAGCTGTCTTAGGCAAGCCATATATTGTTTGCCTCGGCTAGTCGTCCAGACTGACTTTGTAAATAAAGTAGAATGATAAGTATTCCTCTGCTCTAATACTGTATCTGCAGAGTGCTAGTCTGGAGACTCAAAATGGACTGCTAGAGTGCTTCTGGCAATGGTTTGAGCTTTCCATGCATGCAGTATATTGAAAACTATAGAACTTGTGTTGCCGTGAAATAAGATACTCGTCTTGGATATGCAGCAGGAGCACTTGCCAGAAGGGTGTGGGACCTTCCGGCTCTTTTTTGGTTGACAAAAAGACAAAATATATCCTAGAACAGACTWTATCCTTTCTGCCAAAGGAAACCTACAGTTTTGGGAGGTTTGGGAGGGCTGAAGCTACACTACATCCTTTTTTTCCTCCTCTTTCCACCATTCGTAAAATTCACACTGGGAATACTGTAAAAGTGTACTGTAAGAGCAAGAAAAGAGACGGTTAYGAACCTGTTTGTTTTCCAAACCTGTTCTGATCTTTCATGTTATTCAGGAGAGCCTTTCAAGACCAAAGAAATAAGGCAGTTAGTTTCTCTCTTGAGAATTAACAGTGTATATACAAAAATGTATGTTTTAGTGCTCAGGCCTTTAGTTTCTTAGTGTTTAGGTGGAAATGCAAGCTAGTGCTACAAGAGATAAGATGCGCTTAAACTTTGAGTGGAAGAATCCTACTGGTGAAAAACACTTTAGGCTGTCGGCACCGTGTTGGGCAGGCTCGCAAGCTGCCAAGGACGGAGGTGTTTTGTGGTGTGTTGCACCAGGCTGTGATTACAGCAGGAGAATCCATGGCAGTGGGTGGGAGCCTCTGACAGTGGATCCCAAGGGAACCATCTGCCAACAGGGGACAGTAAAAGCTTGGTGAAGTTCTGGCCAAGCACTTGCCAGATGGCGGTGGGAATAGCAGATGTGCAGAACGACTCCCCAGCCTCTGAGACTGGCACACTCCTCTTCTGTTTTTCACTCCTTTCGAGCTGCTCATGCAGTATATGAGAAACTCATGGCCTGGTGGTCTGGCATAAGGCTTTGTGTGGAGTATTTGGATGGTTTTCTTGCAGCATTTTAAAGCTCTCCTGCAAAGCAAAATTTGAATTTCGTAATGTTTGCTTGTCCTAATTTGTTTAGTAAATAAGGGTAGTTTAGAAGTCTTCAGTTCAGATGCTCTCTTCCTTGTCATAGTTGTATAGACAGTAAGCATGGCACAGGCGAATTGCTTTACATCAGTAGGGTTTACATTGATACGTTATTTCTTTGTGTAACTATTGAGCAGATCTGTTTTTCTTAAATGTATTTTGTGTGTTTGATATTTTGTAAATAGCTCTTTGAAATGAGTGGGACTGCTGTGGTTAGTAACGTTAATTAGGTACAAATGTCTGAAGAACTAAATCAAATATCTTGATGGGAGAGTGGAGAAACTGGTAATTTTCTTTTTTTAATTTATTATCCTTTTTAGGAAAAATGTTTGGATCAAAATGTTTGAGGGTAGCTATTGTTCTAAATTGCTCTGTTTTTTGTACTTGGTGTTTTATTTTTGAATGATAATGTACAGCCTCTAGTTCAGTAGCAGTGCAAGTTATACAAGTAAAAGAAAAGGAAGCTTGTTGGACAGTTTTACAAATCTCCCTGTGGAGTAAGGGAATTACAGAGCCTTCAGCTGGTTGGAGTAATTCAGTATCCTCAGGAAAGAGACTCGGGTATCCTTGCCTTGCATGATGGCATGCTGGAATATATTCAGCCAAAGAATTAGAGCATTGCCCAATTTATCTGGCCACTTTTCAAGGATTAATACTTTCAGGGAAGATGCATCTTGTCTGAGACAGGACATCTGTGAAAATAAAATGCTTTTTTAAAAGGATAGACCTGGAGCAAGATGGATGGAGAACTTTTTTCTGTGTAATGAAATGCTGTGCTATTTATTCTTCTAGTCTTATATGTATTTATTTTATAGAGAAGAGTGGAAGCAGTATAACATATGGACAGGATGGGAATAATATTAAAACTTAAGGTGACCAGGAGTTGCTGTACTTGCTATTGGGAAGTAAAGTGTGCCTTCAAGAGTGTTTCATCCTGTGCATCCTAGGCTGCCATTTCTTCAGCTTCTGGAAGAGAGGTCCCATTTCACAGCCATGCCTGCCGATTCTAACGTGAGGTTAATATGCATCTTTAACCTCAGAGAGCTGAAGTTACCTGGTGCTTACTCATTTGACCCAAAGTGATGTCTTTTAGTAGATGGGGACTAGCAGKGGACAAAAACTACCATAGACTGTATTTTTTAAGTCAAAAGATCCTTACCAATATCTGAAATGTGGACTAGAATGAAATTTTAGAAAAAAAAAAATGCAAGTATAAAATGAATGGCCTTCTGTTTTGTTTGTTTTCTATAAGGGCATCTTCATTACCTTCTTMTTTGCCAAAGTCATTCCGTGATCTTGTAACGGAAGAAGAAAAATGTGCGAGTAATTCACTAGGTACTGGTGTCAAAAGAGCTGGATATAAAGGACCTGAGGATCCACCAAACCACAACCCTGCAAGGTGAGAGCTTTTCTTAATTGTGTATAGTATTTTTAGTGAATTTTAAAGACTCACAATAATGTGTGAAAAAAACAAAAACAAAACAAAAAAAAAATTCTCACTAATACGCGGTCCCAGGCTCCCTGATGGCAACCAGGGCGAGTCCCTGCCAAGGGTTGCCACACCAGCCCTTGGGGACAAAGTGGGCTGGCAAGGTCAAATGTGGGAGTCCAGGCAGGTTTGGGGTCCACAAGRCTGGGCCTAGGTATGGCTGCAGTGTGGCTTGAGCAAGACTTAAGATTGAGGGCTGAGCTTTAATGCAGCTTCTGATCAAAGAGAAGGGACTGCCCCCCGCTCCCCCCCCCCCCCCCCCCCCCCCCCCCATGGGTTTCTCACAGCCCTTTCTGACTGCCTGGCCCTTGGCAGCAGCCTGACCCCGGGCTACTCAGCTGGGCTGCCAGAGCTGGGCTCAAGTGCTGGCTGCCAAGCCCTGGGAGGCTGGGAAGGGTTTGCAGGCCCTGCTGGGAAGCACGGGGCCTGACACCAATTACCTCCCAGTCTTCTGTGAGAACMCCTGCTCCTGCCCCCTCTGAAAATAGTAAAGAAGAGACAGTTCTGCTGGGCCTCCCTTCTGGTTGCTCACTTTATGTAGAAACTGGACAGTGTTTCTGCAAAACCTGCTTTTCTTTCGGTGTAGTCTGTGCAATCTGGCCAGTCGGAAATCTCTCGAAGTTGATCCTTTGAGCTGCGTCCAGGCYGCCTAAGCTAGCTGACTGAAAATGAGGTGTTAAGGCAGCAGGAGCCTAGGTGACTACGTTGACTATAGTCAGTGGGGGGAAGAAGGACACTTCCAAGCTATTTCTCGTCCCAGAAGGTGCCTGTTTTTGTCTCTTGGTTGAAGGAGGCAGTCATCTAGGCTCTTTACATTTCAAAGTTAGGAGCTCAACTTTTGAGTTGAGTTAATTTTATTCTTTGTTCAGTTCCTATCACAGTAAGCGCTGATGTTGCTTGCAGCATTCATGGTCTGTTTTGGTGAAGACTAATTATTCACAGCYTTCACTCTGCTTTTTATGAGAAGGAAACTGAGTAGCTGCAGAGCGTAAGGGATCCTGATCTTCTGATGTCAGATTTACTGATGGGCCACTGAGGATAATTGCGTGGCTTGTGTTCCTGTTTTCCCTTCTTTGTCTGCCGCAATTAAACTGACACTTTTCATAAAGCATAATATTTCAGTAGTTTCTGGATGTGATTTGTGTGTGTCGTTGCAGAAATACTCTTCCATACATTATCACCTTCCAKCTGTTTGCAGCCCTGAAAGTTTCCGTTGATTACCAGGGTCGTGAATACACAGATGAGATCTGGACTCAGCTCAAGGCGAATTAGCTGAGAAGCTGGGCTGAGAGATGTGACTGCCCTGCTTGCAGGGTCAGCCCGGCTTGGGGAGCCAGGCTCTGCAGCTGTGCATGTGGAGCTCCTAGTCCAGGCTAGTCCTGCGCRCCTGGCATGGCTTCACTTCGTTGTGGCGGCCTGGGTTGTCTTCACTATGTTACTCCAGGGAGCACTGAGGAGTCTTAGTGGAAACATATCTGTGGCTTCAYATGGGAATGGCCTAGTTCTGGCATGGCCCATACTGAGCTAATTAATAGTTCATGACTCAAAACAGTACAACAAAATCCAAAGGTTCTGCAGGAGACCAGGCTTTGTGCTTTCTTTCAAAGGAATCATTAGGTCAGGGAGGTACTAGACCTGAACTGGCTTCAAATGAGCAATTCCTGCCGGATCACTGGGGAGCCGAGTGCTGAGGCACCGCGGTGGCTGTGCAGGAGTCAGGGCAAGTTCAGCCAACGGAGTTAATCAGACTGGTTCAGTACTGAGCCAGTTTGTTTCCATGCAGAGCCACTTGTGTCTCTACATCAGTCTTTAATTTTCAAGGCTTCCAAGCTCTATATTTTTGAGGCTTTTTCCATTTTTCTGAATATCCCAGCTTCCCTTTTCCTGCTGTTCCATTTCTCTTGAATTTTTTGACGCTAGCTGAGGAATGAATCTAGCGTGTTGCAATATCTGCAGTTGATTTAGTATCTGGGCTAAGTGTGTTACTAGCAAGAAACACAGATGTAAATATGCACRAAGAACTTCCAAATAACTGAATTGCTTACTGCATTTAGAAGCTACACTTAAATTGAAAGAGGTGACTTGTTAAGTTTATCCTGACTGGTCACTAGAGTGTGCTGTGACACTGGAACTGTTAATTATGCTTTTAGAAAACACTCTTACATGAGAAAAAACTTTCCTGTCCTGGCAGAGGTTGGTGAAGCACTTTGAAATGGTTTGTGTGGTTGTGCTGTGAACTCCTTGGACTTGGAGTGGGAAGGATGCAGTAGATGTCAAGTGGGGCAGGCAGGGAGGGGTTACAGTCAAATGGGCTTGTAGGCATTATTAGAGCAGGTGGAAGATGACACCAGAATAAGGTCATTTAGTAAGTTGGCTCTTTCTTTCTTTCCTATTTTTATTATCCTATTATCTTTTTTATTTTCTTGTCCCCTGTTGTCAAGATCCAGGAATAATTTAGATAAGAAGGGACCTTTGGTGGTGCTCTAGTTCAGCCTCCCGCTTGAAGCAGATGCAACTAGATTAGAGCCTTACCCAGTCAAGTTGTAGGTATTTCCAAGGAAGGAGATAGCCCAGCCTATCTGTGAACCTGTTCCAGGGCTTGTTCCTTGTTCTGTCTCTATGCACATCCAGGAAGATTCTTGCTTCTTGTTTTCCGTACCCTCCCCTTAGTGAGCTGAAGGCAGCAGYAAGGCTTTTTGCCACCTTTTCTTAGATTGGAGTAAACTTTAGGTTATTCTCCTTTAAATCCAAGAGCCTAAAACTGAAAACTCTGAAAGTGAATTTTGTCCATTGTGGTATGTGTTGGTAGAAGTAATTGTTTAAAGTGGAAACAAGTTGCCCAATATATTTTTTTGAGTCAAATCTGTTTTTTTGAGTTTTTCCCAAGCAACTTGCATCTGATTTGCTGTCATGATCAGTGCACCCAGGATTCTTCTCTTTCTCTTCCAGCTGAGAAGCTCGAGTTATGGTTGTTATTAGCTTCACTTCACACCACCTTATTTTATACTTTTGAACTCCCCTTACTTTAGCTTTATTCCACAGTCATACTGCTAATTATCCTGTGCTGAATTAGTATCACCTATAATGTGTTTTCTGATTTCAATATTGTTTTTGCGTGCACCATCATTAACTTGAAGATAATTTTAACAATAATTGCCACCCTTTTTCTAGTTCATTTCACACTAACTTTATTATGTGTTAAATTATTCTTTAAGCTAAAGATTACATAGTGCTTGACAAGCTATCTTATCTAAAGCTAAAACAAAGAAACAAACAAAACTATTAGTTTCTTAAACACCTATGGGTGGAGGGAAAGCGTTGTATATCAGTGAAGACAAACTATCAGAACTAGAGTTGTATGAGTATGCAACTCATGAGTACGTTAGTCTAGTAACTAGAGTGTGGTAGTGCAGACTTGACCATCTCCTCATGGAGCTGGAGCTGTTGCTTTGGGTGAGCATTTTTGCAATGCTGTGGAGTGATGGGTATCCAGAAGTCTCCATTTTGGAGAAGACCTGCTTCCAGTCTGGGCACTGTCCCACTGGGTGTCCTGACAGTGTTTGATATGATTAGCATTACAGCAAATAGAAGAAAAAGATCATTTTTAGTCATATGAACTGTGCTTTTTCAGTAAAAACAGGAACAATATACCCTTGTAGAAGGTAAATCTGCTGGGTCTGATCCAAGGTCCACTATTATTCCCTGGCACCTGTTGGTGCAGATATGTATACTTATTCATCTGTATCTTTTCTTAAGTAGCTACGGAACAAAAATGAAACAAATGCTGAGTTGTTGGCTGTTTGGTGGTCAAAAGCATGTTTTATTGCAAAAAGCTGGGCATAGTTCGTTTGGATGTCATTTTTTGATGATGGATGGGCCTTTTCATATTTTTTGAAATCTTGCCCTCATTGCTTAGCAGTGGGAATGATGGTTCTTGTTGTCCTTGGAGTTGTGTCTGGGGGGAGAAAAATCCAGGCACACAACTAGCAGTTACTGGAATTCTCTTATTAGATAGCCTGCTGTAATTCTTTTTTCCTCATATCCAGAGCTTTGTGGCCACTTAAAGGATTACCAGAAAGTTTAAGAAATGAAGACTTATTTATTTAAATACCAAAACCATTAGTGCAAATGTGATTTATTTATTTTTACAGTTCTATATAAGTAATTCAGAAAATTCTGTTAGCATTTCATCATATGACCTAACATTCCTTTAGGACTCTAGAAATAGAGTATTGCCAAAGTAAGGGATTGCATAAGAATAGTCTTCCTATTGGCTGGGTTTTTTTCCTAACAAATCTTAAGTAGACCAAATGTGTCTTCCTGGTCTAGACAGGCTAGCACTTTGCAACAGAATGAAATGTCTTGCTGTTGAGAACTTTTTGCTGGTATTTTTGAGGATTTTTTTTTCCTTGCATTATTCCTAATTTTACACTGTTCTTATGAATGTGGGAATCCCTTTGAGGATGCATACAGACAGTTTCAGATTAAAGAGCTGACTTGCGCTTTGTTAGTACTATTGTTAGAGCAGCAAATGAATAACCCTCAACTAAAACATTTGCTTGAAATCCTGGATATGTTTTTTTATCTTGAAGACATATTCTTTTCATGTTAATTGCAAAGAATTTTATAGTTGTGTCCTATCTTGCGTAGATCAGTTTGCTATTATAGGTGTAAAAAACTTTCTTAAAAACCAAAACTTTGTTCAAATGCTCAGATATTAGAAAAAAAAAAAGTTAATGCTGAGCATGAAAGTACTTCTTGTCAGAAATCAGCATCAGTGTGTATCCTCCACCCCTAATATCTCAGAGAAATTCAGCCTCAAAAACTGTGCCTACTGCCTGGRAGAAGCCCCTCCATAAATTTGTAAAGGGCTACTGCGAGTTTTTAATTCATAGCGTGTTCTAGCAGAACACTTAATAACGTTCACTTTCCTTCCTTCTTACTTTTGTTTTTTCAGATGTATAACCAGAAGTAGCTCAAGCCTGGAAAACCATGTCCTGGATTCTCCACAGCTGGAGAGTCATAAGTAAGTTTGACACTGGTTTACACACTGGATCTTAATTTGTGTCTTGTGCTGACCTCCTTCTTGGTGTTACCTCATAATGTAATTTACTTTTTTGCAGTCCTTGGTTAGCAACATCCCCRACCAGCTCTCCAGGAATAGCACCTGTCATGTTTGCAGCTATTGTAGAGGAAGAGCTCCAGCAAGAAGCTGCTCTGATTAGGAGCAGGGAAAAGCCTTTGGCTTTGATCCAGGTAAAGTGCGTGGCTGCTGCAGCTGAAATGCAGTGCAAGAAGTTTCCAGGGGCTGTTTCAGAGATCACTTCTTAGAATCAGTTTTGTGTTGATATACTTAATATCATTTGCATAATGGTGTGAAACAATAATAGTATATTGCTCTTTGGTAAGGTAAAGGTCTGTATTAAAATCAGATTGATTGTTAAGTTTATGATTAATATGTTGAATGGAATCATAAAATAGTTGATGTAGAAGGGACCTCTGGTGATCATCTGGCCTCAACTCTCTTGCTCAGAGCAGGATCAACAATAACAGTTTTTTCCAGCCCTGTATTTAGTTGGGCTTTGAATATCTTCAAASGTGGAGACTCCACTACCTTTCTGGACAACCTGCTCTAGTGTTTGACCAACCTCATACTAAAGTCTTTTTTTTTTTTTTTTTATGGAATTGACTTTATTTCAGTTTGTGCTCTTTGCCTCTTGTCCTGACCTATGAAAAGCCACCGGTCCCGTTTTCTTTATTTTCTCTCATCAAGCATTTATGCATGCTTAGGAGATCCCCCTCAAGACTTCTCTGCAGTCTAAAAATCCAAGCTCTTTCAGCGTCTTCTAGTCTGTCAGATAATCCAAGCTTTTAATAATCTTCATTGGGCTCGTTACTGCTTTGCATTCAGCTTGTGGTCCAGCCGGACTACAGGACTTCAGTCTTCTGTGCCAAGTCGCTCTCCATCTGGTCAGCACCCAGCCTGTCTGAGTGCCTGGAGTTATTCCTCCCCATGGGCWGCACTTGGCACTTTGAGCTCTGAGGTTCCTCTCAACGCATTTCTCCTGCCTCTTGAGGTTCCTGTGAATGGCAGTGCAACCCTCAGGTGCATCAGCCACTCCTTCTAGTTTTGTATCGCTGTCAAACACTGATGACTGGCCTTCTGTTGGTATTTGTGCTGCTGCTTGAGCTTAGTGAGTCAGCTAATTATCAGTCCACCTCACTAGTCTACTTTCCTAGCCCATACTTCATAGCTTCTCCATGGAGTTGTAGTGGGAGGCACTGTTGAAAGTCATATAAAGGCATATTGAGGTTCCGTTTAGATGTTAGGAAAAAAATCTAATGGAAAGAGTAGTCAAGCATTGGATCAGACTGCCCAAGGAAGTCACGTTCCTGGTAGTGTTCAAGAAACATGTAGATGAGGCGCTTGGGGACAAGTCTAAGGAGCTATGGTGTTGAAGGACTTACAGTTGGACTCKATCTCAAAGATCTTTTCCAACCATAATGAGTCTATGATAAAAGCAAGTTAACCTCCACCACTCTTCCCTCATCCACCAAGCCAGTCATCTTGTTGTGGAAAGTCAGTAGGCTGGTTAAGCACTCCTTTTTTCACTTCRCAAATCCTAGTCACCTTTCCTGTCTTTCATATATTTGGAAAAGCTTCTMATTTCCTGCATATTCCTTCTTGCACTTCTGGAGACAGGGTGCAAGGGAGACATTTGCCTTCTTTCAGTCCTCAGGAACTTTCCTGGATCACTGACTGTTCAAAGATCACTGATGGTGGCCTTGCAGTGGTGTTGGCCAGCTCCTTCAGCATGCGTGGCTGCATCCTGTCACGTCCTGTGGACTTGTGTGTGTTCAGCTTGTTTGTGTGTCATTGAACCTGATCCTTCTCCACCAAGSATGAGTCATGCTTGCTCCAGACTTTCCCAGTGGTTCCTGCCTGGGATTTCTGATGGCCAGAGGCAAAGAAGACATTAAGTACCTCAGCCTTTTCCATGTCCTTTGTCACTCAGTAGTAGGCCCACATTTTCTGTAGTGTAGTAGGTTGTTTTTGTTTTGTTTTTCTTTTCTCKACTTATGTACCTGGTGTGTCCATGAAATCAGCCAACTTTCCTGGAGACCCCTTTCCCCTGCATGGCTGTCTCCCATCATATTCTTCAAAGCAGATCACCAGACAAGCCACACTGTTTTCTTTAAATCTTTAAATCCAGAGTTGTGATTTTGTATTCCCAAGTCTGTCTCTGAACTTCACATTCCCAAGCAGTGTTTCCGTGTTTGTGAGCATCAGAGCAGCTCCTCTTATCAGTTCCTTGTTCACCTGTGTTAGGCAGTTATCATCAGCACACTCTAAAAAGGTCTGGAATTGCTTGTGCTCTATGGCATTGCCCTTCTACCAGATTCTGGGATGGRTCCAGTCCCCCGTGAGATCCAGGGCCTGAGAGCATGAGGTTGCTTCCAGTTGTCTGCAGGAGGCCTCGTTTACTTCTTTTTGATCAGGGTGCAGCAGATAAATTCAGGGCAACCAAAGCCATTTCATAATGGTGTTATTGGTGCAAGTGTGGATGTGGCACTGAAGTATGTTGTTTTTTTCTTTCCTTTTTCCAGATTGAGGAGTGTGCTATTCAAGATTTACTAATCCACTATGAAGCTTTTGACAACCCTGATGAATTTGTGACTGTTGAAAGGGCTTCACAGGGACCTATAGCAACACCCATGTGGAACAAGCACTAATTGTCACTGTTCACAGTCCATACTATATGTGCACTTCTGAAGGTTTATTTCTTGGTACGGGTAGAACTGGACTGGAAGAGCAGGAATTTGTAAATTTAACATCAGCATTAGAAACTGCACATGATCTTTAGACATTTGGTAGAGAATGAAAATAATTTGTCCATTGTGTCCATTATCTGAAGTATATATTGTGTGTATGTTTGGGGAAAATTTCTTTTACAAGCCCTATTATTATTAATGTTACATGAAGTTGTAGATTGGAAATGCATTTGCTTATCTTAAAATTAGAGTTTTGCTTAGTTAAATTCACAGGTAGTTGAAAAGCAAATGCTTATTTTGTGGTTTAATGTGAAATTGAATGTGCAGAGTTATGCATCTTAAAGAGTTATGTTTTTCAGAGCTTACTGCCAAATCAGGAATATCCCCAAAAGTTTGCTCTTCACGCAAAAATGTAGTCTGATAACGCAGTTTTCCTTAAGTTCTGTGTGTAAGTACTGGTTCGCTGACTGTTGTGACCAGACTGTCATGCTCTGCAGTGAACCTCCACGCTGTGCCCAGGTGCCCTGCTGTTGCCTGCTCTCAGTTCAGTTGTGCATGGGTTTTTTTCACCATTATGAGACTGGCCTTCTGTTGTGAGGTAAAGCACACAGTTGAATAGGATGTGGTGGCACGTAGCTCATCTATAGGCTTATTCTGATTAATAGGGTACGGTTTTAGAATCACTAAGGTGATTCAAGTCATTAAAGTACAAATGACTTAAAGTGCTGAGGAATTATAAAATCTGTATGTTCATTGTTAAAGCTACAGGGGTGAATGCTTCATTGTGGCATTTGCAAACACTTAACCCACAACGATCATCATCGGTGGCTTTTGGTATTGTGTGTTCCAGAGTTATCCGTGCCTGGTTTCCTTCAACAAATTCATATTAAAAAAAAAAAAAAAAAAAAATGGGGAGCCTTATCTCCATTGTTCTGTCTAGTTTCTCTGTTTGTGTAGGTGTGTTTGAACTTGAACTTTTTCAGTAGTGTTGGTACTTACAAACTGAAAAAACTGGAATTGAGAGAGAGCTACAGAAGATGAATATATGGAATTGATCACTGTGCGATAAGAGATCTGAACTTTGGAAAAAGCTGTGTGGTTATGTCTAATGGTTTCAGGTTTGAGCTACACCCACCTCCCTCTCCCCAGTTGTAAACAAATGCAATAAACTAAAAACTTGATTTGCACAAAATTGGTCTATTTTTATATGCTCTCTACATATTATTAACACTTCAGGTAAGAGTAATTAAAATATTTCTTTGTCGTATGAAACATGGACTGCAGATATTGTAAAGCTACACGTACAAATGAGGATTGTTTATGTAGATTTTAAATTCTGCTGGTGATTCATTCAATATATTGATGAGACTATTTGCATTAGGTGCTTTACTTGATCCAGTTCAGGCCCTTGAATTAAAGGAAAGATTGTGTACAGTGAGAAATAGCTTTAAAAGCAGTGGGCTTTTTCATCTTACCTCATTCTCAAATATAAAATTGTTTTAATATTGCTAAGGTGCATTTAAAATGTCATTCACCTGTCATAAGAGTTCTCATGTTTCTACACTGCAGAGGAGCTTGACTGCTTTTGAGCTGTGGATTTATTGCAGTAGTATTTGTTTCTGTTCATTTCTGTAGCTGCATTGGTTATACCTAAAATACATATTTAAAAAAAAAAAGTAATTATCAAAATGCCTTCATCTGGAATTTGAAAACAGTTCAGACTTGTTTTGAAGCATCTTAAACTTAAACATCTTAAATTTAAGGCTAAAATATGTCATAAAGCTGTCCAAAATTAGAGACTATATTTTTAACCTTAAAGCTTGAAAGGTAGCAGAGTTTAGAAATAAATCTCTAACTCACTTGATATACTCTGGAGGCAAACATAAATATCTAAATAAAACCCACAAAAAGGACAGCTGCATCAACAGATATTACTGTATGGCTATAAAAATAGTAGAATAGTTAAACCTAAGGCACAGTAGAACTGCACTGTCACTGAGGTGGGAAGGCATCTCTGGAGGTCTAGTCTAAACTCTACTCAAGGTTTGTGTGTGTGGTGGTATTCCTTTTTTTCTTATTTTTTTTTTCTTCTCCCCTCTTTCACATTAATTAATGAAAGTCAGTTGAACGAATTTTTGCCAAGGCTTCTAATAAATTTGACAAGCTGAGATTCTGCTACATGGAAGTCAACTGTAGAGAAGTTTTCAAGGTGCTGCTTAAAGCAGGTTTCTTGTAACTTGAGTAAGAAAAGCACTGCTAATTTTCCATTTCGATGGAAGTGTGTGTGTGTGTGTGTGTGTGTGTGTGTGTGTGTGTGTGTGTGTGTGTGTGTGTGTGTGTGTCTAGCTCAAGTGGAGGCTGACGTCTGGAACTAGGCTTCTGTGGGCGCCCTGGGTGCTCGGGCTCCTGCTGTAGCCCTCGTGGTCGCTGCAGTCACGACCCCCGTGTGAAGCCTCCCCGGGCTCTGCTGCCTGCCTTGCCGGCTGGCTCTGCACCCGAGACTGAACATTGACTTGAATATTGATGTCTTGCTCATGAATATTGATGAGGACAGATGAGACGTTCTTGGATAATTCACAGGAAAGCCCTCAAATCATCTTGGGGTGGCTCTTTTATGAGGAAGCTTTTGGGATGCAGAACAAAACTTGCAGTCAAAACGAGATGCCTCTGCACAACCAGGAGTCTAATATAACAGGAATTTAAAGTGGGAAAATAATCATCTTGCTCAACTGCGGTCGGGGATTTTAATGGTATGTTTGGTCCAGAAAGGTCATGTGGTCTAACTTAAGTAATAGTYCGGAATAGATGATTGTACTTTCCCTCCTTGGTCTGATCTAAATGAGCTCTTTGTTGATCTATAGTATGAATTTGCAATACATAATTTTTAATATGTTACAGATCCATTCTTCCAAATCTTGCAGATTTTGGGGGGTAACAGAATAGAATTGTTAAATCTCGTTACTTTTTTGTTATTTCATTTTCATAAGGGATATTACATATGGAACAAAAGAAAAGCCAACAAAAAAGTAAGCTTATGTAAGAGCAGTTTTAAGCAGATCCACAGCATCTGTTCTGAAGTAATAATGTATAGCTAGGGGCAAGCCAAGGGTCAACTACGTCCTTTCTCGGTCCAAAATTTCTTCTAATAAAAGAATCATCCTTTGCAAAAACACTTTCAAAAAAGCAAGCAGGAAAAAATGATCCAGAAGCTTATTTTATGGTTGTCAATATTTAACGATTTCTCGTCATGTTTTTCCCCTTCTATTCTTTGGAAGTTTATCCTAGGCAGATAAGAGGAACGTGACACTTGAGGCTCAATTTTCACCACACATTTTCTAAATAATTCCTGGTGGGGGTAGGCTGTTCATCTGGGCATGCACCTTTGGATTGAAGTAACTAAGATGGAAGGTGAGTCTGTCCTTCCTCCTCTRGTCACTTCACCACCTGCTAATTCTGCAGGAGCCTCATATCCATTCTTCAGCCAGGAAAGCCTGACTGCAAGAAAAATAACTGTATGYTCTATATGTTATGCCTCTCCATGGGAGAAAACCTGGTGAAATGCCAGGTGCCCTTTGCCTTCAGCACAGCAGCTACATCTGCTCTGCACGTCTGTCTGGATCGCAGTGTGCTCGGCAAAGAGACGGGGAGAGCTGCGGTGGGAATGCAGGCTATTTGCTCCCGCTCTGTAGTGATCCATCAGCTGCTGCTCTCGCCTTGTGGCTGCTCTTCTAGGGCTAATTTCTGGCTAATCGAATGCTAGAGGTGAGTTCTGAGAGGGACATTAGCTCTCGTGCTAAATGTCATTGATCACAGCACAGCACTTCGTTATGAGAGCTGTGGTCTTGCCATGTGGTGACGGGGCCTGGAACAATAGTTCGTACATCAGAAGAAATGGAAAAAACAGTAAAGAATAGGCTATTTTAAGCACAAAGGTATTTTGTCTTTTCATTAAGCACATATACAGATTTTTTTTTCTTACCCCACACTTTATTAGATATGTTCTTACTGCATGGCCAGGGGAAATGTATACAAAATCCTAGTCCTTTGCCTAGACTGTGTATTTTGAGATGTTTGAGAGACACTGTCCACACTCRTGCATACTGCAAAGTTGAAATTGAGCAGTAGAGCTATGACCACCAGRGCATTTTCTGATCATTTCATTGTAACAATATTGTATGAATGTCTGATAGCACTGGTGCTGAAGGAGGAGAGTGTGCCTGTGTGCACAGCCAGAGCTCTTCGTTTAATTTGTTTGCAGTTGTAGAGTTACATTGCTCCACTGGAGCAAGTGGAGTTACCATGTTCTGTCTCATCTGCGTGTAGTTTTTGTCAATCTTTTCATTTGACAGTGCACTAAAACAGCATTTTTTTTTTGTTTAATATACATATAGTGGTGGTACCTTGCATTTGAATTTTGCAAATAACAAACCTCACTATATTTGCGAGGAAGGAATGCTAATTTAAGGCAAGAGATGGATAGAGTAGCAGGTGCTACCTACTTGGACAAATGATGGGCTGACTGGTGAGCTGCAAAGATGGGCAATTGGAGTGTGTCATTGTAGCAGTTTGTTGACTGCAAAAAAATTCTTGTCCTAGAAGAGGTCTGACCTGTAATTCTCGGTGTTTGAAGTAATGAACCAGAATGAGCCCCTAAAATTTGTGAGGTTGGGGAGGACAGTATCAGGAAAAATGGCAAAGCTATACAAATAAGTTAATAAATCATGAGCTTAACTTGTCTGCAGGGAGAATTGGCATTGAGATACTTTTCCAAGCAAGTGATGGATCAAAACCCAGCTGTGCCCCGTGCTCTGGGTGTCCCTGCTGGAGCAGGGGGGTTGGCCTAGATGATCTCTAGAGGTGCCCTCCAACATCAACCAGTCTGTGACTCTGGGATTAGCTCTGTATGGGCTTGGGGTGTCTTGCTGGGCTTGGGCAGCAGCCCGTGCTGGAGCGTGCAGGCCCTGAGTCCCCCTCTGCCCAGTGGCTTCCTGTAGGAGGCTCTGGCAGCAATTCTGAAAACTCATTGTCGATTGCAAGCTGTGATTTTCTGTCTTAGGTTCATTCTTACCTTGCAACTTCCGACCAGTTATTTCCCAGAAACAATAATACCAGGATTTACTCAATCCCTTTCTCCTTGTTCCCCTGGTTCCATATGGAGCCAGCAGTAGCTGAAGCTGTAGTGCTGGTAAGTCTCTCATGCGAAGAGGGATAAAGATTTATATAATTCGGTGCAGTTCTTATAGAAAGAAAACATATAGAGAGAAAACCTACTAGATCAGTGACACTGAAAGTAGGTACTGGGTCTCCAGCATGCCCAGTGCAAACCTTTAAGTGTGTGTTGGTGGGTGGTTTTTTTTTTTTTCTTTTTTTTTTTTCTTTCTTATGCTGGTATGCTTGTGTGCCAGTGCTGTGGTCCTCAGGGAAGACATTTTTTGGTTGTTATATTTTGGGAAATAGGATAAACTGTCCATTATCTTATAAGGCTTTTTAAACTTTGACTTAGGTTGAGCATGAAAAGGGAATTATAAGTTGCCACATGCACATCCTGACAAGCTGAGTCACAGAATGTTTGTTAACATTCTACACGTTTTGTGCTAAAGAGGATGGAAAACTTTTTGATGGGCTGCTGAGGAAAATATACTTTGGAAAAAAAAACTTCCTGGTAAGAAGGATGTAGTGGAGATGAGTTCTGAAAACAAAGTGTTTGTATTTGCTATTTCTAGGCAAGTAAAACACAGGAACTTATTGTCCCCAGGTACTCAACTAGGGGAGACAAGTGCCTCTGAAAAGAGAAATTTAGTGCATTGGAAATTAATGCTGACAGTATTGGATATATTTAAACTTTGTGTAAGGTGTTCGGTTTTTGTCTGAGTGCTCCTGAAGAACCATATGGCACCCAGTTCCTATACAGTTCTCTAAAATCTACCTCATTTAGGCTACTGCTTCATCAGCCTTTTGCACCAGTGACTCATGATCAGAGGCCATCAAACCATGATATAGGGGCTGTAGCTTGTCCAGTTTTCCATTATGAACATACCACAATTTGTCTGTCTTCTAA